GGGTCAATTTCTATTTTAAAAAAAATTCAAAACGACGTCGTTTTAATAAAAAATAAATAAAAGTCAATGGGTTACCACCGGGTTTTTGACCGGGTTTTGCCGGGTCGTCCGGGTTTCCGGGTCAACCCGCCGGGTTATAGTTTACCTTATTTTTTCATCAATCCGGCCCAGTTTCAGCCCCGGGTCGGCCGGGTCCAGGGTCAACCCGCCGGGCCGGGCCGGGTTTTAAAACTATGATTTTATAGGAGTTGTGAGTGTGATGATGTAAAACTAATTTATGGGCCTTTTTTTTTTATCAATAAAATATACAGAGCTTTACCATTCCATATAGATCTCTTTTGTTTTTTTCTTAATGATAAATAAAGCTCTAGATCCTCCCATGGCTAATGGAGGATTTTTGTGAAGTAGGACAACAAAAACCCTTTCCTCCTATTTCAGTCTCTGTGTATAGGGTTTTGCAAAACTAGGGGAGATACTATTTCTAGTTAAAGTCGAGAAAATAATGCGTCTGTAATTTTAAAAGATATAATTTAACTGATTACTTTTTGAATTTATTTTTAAAATATTACTAATTTGAATATTACAAATCTTAAAACTATAAAAAATTTATATAATTAACATTAAAATCTTATAAAATTGATTGAAATAAATTGATCCAAACATTTTCATTTAACCAAAAAAAAATACAAACTATATTGATTTGAAATTTGAACTCCCATGTTTCAATTATATATTTAAAAACTCATCTAGTACCAGGCTTGAGTTATAAAAAAATTGAGTCATTTTTTAAAAAGAAAATTAAAAAAATTAGAATTATATTATTTTAATCTATTTTTTAAAATTAAAAACTTAATAGTCAAGTGAGTCAAATAATTTTTATTTTTTTAACTTAGACAGCCCAGGTCCTATATTGACCCGTAAGGCTTGTCCGGTTATTGAAACAATGGCTTCAATTTGCAGCGGCTCTTACAATCTTCCATTTAGAAAATGAAGGTGTCATGTCCAAAACTAAAATTGAGGGATTAATTAAGAAAGTTATAAAACTTCAGGGGCCATACAATGAAAATCTGCCTTCGTCCTCTTCACCACCAAAAGGCATAAAATATCCAAACCGGATAAACCAGCACCTCTCGCTTCCCCTTAAGCCACCTCTACCCTCAGCCTCTCCATCACTCTCTCTCGGAAAAGAGAAACCTAAAATGCTTCTGTTCCCGCAACCTGTCCCAAATCGTTTCCATTCAATTTCCATAACTTCTCCAATCTTCCACCACCACCACCTTATCCTCCAACCACAACTCTACGCCACTCCCACCACCACTGCCCTCACCGCCACAAATCTCACCGACTCCTCCCTCCCTTACTCAAAGCGACATCACGAAACTTCACAAAATGACATCGAAGACTACTACAACGACGACGACGACGACGACGACATTCTCCCTCTCCAAAGCCTCCGTTACGACTTCACTCCACTCATCAATTACCTCTCCAACAAAATTTCCACTTCCACCGACTCGGACTCCGACTCAGCCTCTCCTACATCATTAGACTCCACCGAAGTCCAACTCGCCGAGTCATACCGTGTAGTCCCTGGTCCACTCTGGCACTCCCTATTAAAATCTCTTTGTACTTCCTCTTCATCTATTCCTCTCGCTTACGCTGTCGTTTCTTGGCTTGAAAAGCATAACCTCTGTTTCTCTTACGAGCTGCTCTACTCTATTTTGATCCACGCACTTGGTCAGTCAGAGAAACTATACGAGGCGTTTTCGCTTTCTCAACAGCAAAATTTGACTCCATTAACTTATAATGCCTTGATTAGCGCGTGTGCACGGAATAATGATATTGAAAAAGCGCTTAATTTGATATGTAGAATGAGGGAGGACGGTCATCCTTCGGATTTGGTTAATTATAGTTTAATAATTAGGTCATTAATGAAGAATAACAGAGCAGATTCTTCGATTTTGCAAAAGATTTACGGGGAACTTGATCTTGATAAGCTTGAAGTTGATGCGCAGTTATGGAATGATATTATTGTTGGGTTTGCGAAAGCTGGGGATTTAGATAAAGCGTTGGAGTTTTTGGGTGTGGTGCAAGGAATTGGATTGAGTGTGAAAACTGCCACGCTTGTTACAGTGATTTGGGGTTTGGGGAATTGTGGTAGGACAGAGGAAGCGGAGGCAATTTTTGAAGAAATGAGAGATAATGGATTGCAACCGAGGACCAGGGCGTATAATGCACTTCTTAGAGGGTATGTGAAAGCGGGTTTGTTGAGAGATGCAGAGTTTGTTGTTTTGGAGATGGAGAGGAGTGGTGTTTTGCCAAATGAACAGACTTATAGTTTGTTGATTGATGCGTATGGGAATGCGGAGAGATGGGAGAGTGCGAGGATTGTGTTGAAGGAAATGGAAGCGAGTAATGTGCAGCCTAATGCATATGTTTTCAGTCGGATTTTGGCGAGTTATCGGGATAAAGGGGAGTGGCAGAAAACTTTTCAGGTTTTAAGGGAAATGGAGGACAGTGGGGTGCGTCCTGATAGGATATTTTATAATGTTATGATTGATACTTTTGGCAAGTTCAATTGTCTTGATCATGCTGTGGCTACATTTGATAGGATGTTATCGGAAGGGATAGAGCCTGACACAATTACTTGGAATACACTTATAGACTGTCATTGTAAGGCAGGGAAGCATGATAGAGCGGAGGAGTTGTTTGAGGAAATGATGGAAAAAGGCTATTTGCCTTGTAATACTACATTTAACATTATGATTAATTCATTTGGGGATCAGGAGAGATGGGACGATGTGAAGAATTTGTTGACAAATATGCGGAGTCAGGGTTTATTGCCTAATGCCGTGACATATACTACCCTTATTGATATTTACGGGAAATCAGGTAGGTTTGATGATGCAATTGAGTGCTTGGATGATATGAAGGCTGCAGGACTGAAACCATCCTCTACGATGTACAATGCTTTGCTAAATGCCTATGCACAGAGGGTATGTTAACAGCCTTGTCACTGGCTTCAACTCCATTATATGATTACTTTTTCATGTGATCTTGCGAAATGTTTAATTCACATGGTTACTGATAGCCAGATGATGGTATATTATAGTCAGTCTTGGCCACATGGACTATTTGCGCTGTGGGTATGCAAATAAACTTGTGCATCAAAATATAAGATCTTTACCGGGAATAAACTATATATCCATGATCATGTGCCTGGATGTCCGACTTATCATTTTCATGCACACTGTATGGGCAGGACATAGGAGAACATGACTAATATTTTAGATAATTACTGATGAACTTCTACATTACAGTTGCTGTGCACTTGAGATCACTGACACTCATCATTTTAATGTTTAGTAAGATGACACTGTCAACCTTACCAAAACACATAATTCTGATGCAATTGGGAAGGTTGTGCAATTTATCACTTGTTTTATAATTGTACTATCTTCAATTCACTGGTGGCTTCTAAACTCAGAAGATCAAGCTCAGATATTGGTACGCACAAATTAGACAGTAAGGAGGTTCAAGTGAATGCGTTCTATACCCTTTTCTTGCAAATGGGAACTCTGATAGAATAGGATCTACAGTTCTGTCCTCTTAATGATCTCCCATTTCATTTTCTCACAGGGTTTGTCTGAGCAAGCTGTAAGTGCATTTTGGGCAATGAGGGATGATGGCCTAAAGCCTAGTCTCTTAGCTCTCAATTCGTTGATCAATGCATTTGGAAAGGATAGGAGGGATGTTGAAGCTTTTGTAGTGCTGCAGTACATGAAGGAAAATGTAAGTTGTAGTTAATAGTTACTCACAGAGTATCTATTTTCCTTGTTGAAACTGCAATTGTCTTGCCCTCGTATAAAATGTCCAGTGGTCCTCTTAACTGCAGGATTTGAAGCCAGATGTGGTTACTTATACAACACTTATGAAAGCTCTGATTCTTGTTGAGAAGTTTGATAAGGTATAATATTCATTATACTGTATGAGTGCTCGCAGACAATGTTTGGAAAATTTGATGTGCTGCCTTTTCTTTCTTGTGACATGTTTGGACAATGATACTGCACCCTTTTGCATTTTGTGCCCATTGTATATCCACCACAACTGTTGATCTCCTTTTTTTAAGGTGTTGCTGACATGATAAGCTGGACCTTGCATATTTCATGGGCTGATAAATTGTTTGCAGCAACATATATCAAAAATAGATGTCTCAGTTCTTACTATCAATCATACTTTACCTGCCTTAAAAGTAATATAATCAAATGAATGCATAATTTCTCTTTGCTTCTACCTAGAAATGAAGCATCATACCAAATACCTGATGCATAGTTTATAACCACTTTGTTAACTTGAAACAGCATAATTATTGCTTGGTGTGTGTCACGCCACATTTCTGTTTGCATTTCTTTTTTTTTTTGCTTATACTCCATGTCTGTATCCGAGCTGGAAGTACAGAGCCTTTGAAGTGGTTCACTTTAACATTATACTGCATTTACTAATTTCGAGCTTGCATTATAGGATATAAGAAAGGTCAATCGTTGGGTATGCCATCTGAGATTGCTGTTTATGTCTAACAAACATCTTCGATGCCCTAGCTGTATCGTTACATTGAGACCTAATTTATACCTATCAATCACCCTTGTGGTACTATATGAAGATAATCGACCTGCATGTTTCAGGTGCCATCTGTGTATGAAGAAATGATTTTGTCTGGGTGCACCCCAGATAGGAAAGCCAGAGCAATGTTACGCTCTGCTCTGAAATACATGAAGCAAACACTGGAATAGTAGCTGAGAAGCCCAAGCTATCCAGCCATACAAAATACGAGATCGTTATTACATCCGAATTCGCTTCCCTGTTCAAGGTTTGTGCCTGCGTCCCTTGTGCTGCCATCATTTTATCATGATTAACATGTTATCCTCCATTGCACGAAATATTCTCATTCTCTAGACGAGATGGTTTTGCAGGAATGATGAGCAAATGTGGAAAGGGTTTCTGCTTCAGGAGCAAATGTGGAAAGGGTTTCTGCTTCAGGAGCAAATGTGGAAAGGGTTTCTGCTTCAGGAGCAAATGATTGTCTGCACCCAGAAGAGTCATCTACTTGATATCAAAACACAGGATTTGAGGAAAACTCCTCCCAACTGTACAGTTCTTAACATTCTTGTCACAGCTCCTGAGTAGTATTCTATAATTGCATCAGTTCTAATCATTCTTTTATCCTAATGGAAATATAGGTACTGCTATTCAATTGAACATCATCCTCCCATGGTGCAAAGATTCGACCAAATAAAAACCATTATTTTTTTCATATGAGAATGGTTTCCTCATCTGCTGCCCCTGTAGCTTGTTGATATACATCAGGTTCAAGGCTGCTGATCCAGAGCAGAGAATAGTTTCTTCGAGGGAAACTAAATACTATAGGAATATTAGCAAATTGTGATCAACAATGCTCTGTGGAAGCTCTTTGAATTCGTCAATGCAGAGGCAAATCATTGAGGAACTGACGTTGAACCATGGGCAAAAAAATGTTTCTATGAGATACCTCAAGATACAATGTCAGATGGATAAGGCGGAGACAATAGGTCTACTTGACTTGCCCTTTGCAATTCTAGAACAGAACATGAACAATAACAAAACAGAGGATAATAAGAAGAGCCTAAAATACGTTCTTATCTCCTGCATTCCAACATCTAGCACTTCCATCTTTTTACCATATCTATTTCTCCTTTCCATTAAGTACCCATCAAGATATTCATCAATGGATACAAACTTGTCCACCCCAGACGCCATGGCCTTCGAATGGTTTCCATCTAGCTGGAGCGGTCCCAACTTGAAAATTGTGAAAAAAGCAGAAGACCAGTCATTGAGAACTCTCTGTACCCAAATTGAAAATATGATCGTTAAATTTCGATTCTTTTCCATCACCAACCAAATGCTATTTCTGTAAAGCAAAAAAAATAGAAATCCAGTTTACATTGAAGGTAGTAAGATCAACAGGATTGAACATTTTAAAGCAGTCCTTTGAAGAAGCTGCGGTATCTCCGTATATCTGCCAGTTACAGCATAGGAAACAAAGGTTAGGCAGAAAGACTAGCTTATAACTTTAAAGCATCTTTATGAAAGGTGTTCATATTTCACAGACCTCGAAGGTGAAAGCCATAGGCACTTTTACAATGTCGTACATGAAATCTGTTGCTGTCCCATGTGCAAGATACCTAGATTAAAGCATTAAAGCAAAAACATGTCAAAGTCTCAACTAGCACTCCAGACCTGCTGAATAACCCTCTCCAGCAACAAGATCATCTAATTTTCAACATTGTAAGGTAAATCATATTTCCTTCAAGTTGATAATATGTGGAAACAGGCAACAAAGGCCCTGGAAGCACTGCGCACATTAGGCTATAACAGCCAAAGTACCCAGATGTTTTACACTAGAATGATACATATGAACCAACTATAATTCAGAAGCCTGGACAATGCAGGAATGGCAACATTTACTAAAATTACATGTCCCTAAAGACAGCCCAAAGGAAAAAAAAAAAAAACTTAAGACATATCACAAAGCCATTAACATGTCTACGTGTGTCATTTGTATGCAATGCACTGTGATTAAGTGGTAAGTCCATGTGACAACATGCTTTGCAGAAATGGGAACTGATTGTATATTATTAAGCTCATGGACAGTCATCAGTAACCACTGTCAAAACACTAAAATAGAGGGTGTGGTGTCTCTCTAGAAAGAACGGATGGAACTATGAAATTTCTGAATAGAAACAGGTTTGCAGTTTAAGTAACACAAACCCAACAGAGCCTCCTCCTGAGCCAATCATACAATGTTTGTGGCAGTGAACATTGTTCAGTTTACTAAGCAATGACCTCATACGTTCTGATAGCACACCATCAGGGGTTGTATTCCTGTGGTCATAAGGCATAAATAATGCCTGAACAACAAAAACAAATAAGAGATCATGCAACCCTAAATGAAAAGGGAAAGAACGCATTATAAAGAACCGAACTAAGGGTAGAGAAAAAATGAAAAAAATTGACAAAACAATTCTTAGGATCAGTTCAGCAATCACTGATAAGTGATATTAACTTAGGACCACTCACCTCCATTCCCGAATGCACATTAACCCATATGTGAGGATCGAACGTTAAGGCAAGTTTCCGCATTATTTGAGTTTCAGGCTCACTGAAAGGACCAGTTCCAGGATTTTCTTCATATGGATCATAGTCCTGTAAATGGGGGAACTTTTGAATATGAGACAAAGAAACCACATCACATAGGAGCACACCACTGAACTGAATTATAACATTCGTATCCTTCAGCAACAAATACGAGTATAAAGACTTGACTGATAATTCTAAAGGCTCATTTATTGCCCATCGTACAAAGATTTCAATTCACTTACTAAATGCACGTACTACTTGAGTCCACCTCAGCATAATGCCCGAGGACATCATCGCAAATCATGAGCACATAACATGTAATGATGTTATGCAAAATAGTATTCCAAGAGTATGAAGTTAATAAGCAGAACAGACCTTCTCCTTTTTGCCCCAATCAACGCTCCAATTCCGGTTGAGATCAACCCCTCTACCTGCCAAAAAGAAAACTTAGCACCACAATTTCTCCAAAAAGTCAAATTAAACCTTAAAATAAACTGCATTACCATTTCTCCTCTCACAAAGATCTCCTTCCTCAACAAGTTTCCGTCCATTCAAGTTTTCCATTGGCACAACCTGCCATGCCATTCAAAATAAGTATTCCAAAACATCAGCTCGTAAACACCAGTAATACATATATTGCCCCAGTAGGTTACATACTTCAATTACAAGTGAAATTAATGTCCCACGAAAAATTTTAAGCTACCTTTACGATGAGTTTGTCTAGGGTATTGTTTAAAGAAGCAACATCTACATCAGGTAGAAACCGTTCCTCGCTTAAAACCGACAAGATCTGAAACGCAAGTTCTGTTGTAATTAGCTCCCTCCCATGTTGCCCGAAACTCTGGAAGACAAGAGAATCATCTGTCAACAAAACCAGCAATTACCAATCACACAAAAATACCAGTATGCAATACCTAATCCACTACACACCAAATCGAATTCCTTATATCTAATCAACAAATTAAACAAATAAAAAAAAGGGCTAAAACTTACAAGAAGAACCCGAAACTTTGACCTGTCATCAGTCTCTTTCCTACTTCTGCAATAAGTAACTACAGTGATCTCTGCTCTATAACCCTTGTTTCCTGTTTTAATCGTCTCCACCTATTATTAATTTTTTATAAAAAAACAACAGCAACCCATCATTACAACCTTAAAAACAACATTAATAATAAAAAAAAATCACCAAAAACAAAAACTTACGGTCAGTTTATCTGGGTGACGGTGTACCAGTGACTTTATTTGCTCTAACAAATCAGCACTGCAAAAAAAAAAAAAAGAATCAGAATGAAAACTCAAATACTATTTCGTAAGTAGAATTTTTTTTTTTTTTGGGGGGGGTGCATTTTGATTTAGAATTTACCTGGAATGGTAGAGATCGCGATTTATGGAAGTGAAAGTGGAATTAGATTTAGCATTGACAAGTGAAGGAGAAGCGAAAAAGAAGAATAAGATGAGAGGGAGGAGAGAAGCCATAAGTTTGAGGAGGAGGGATATTTTTTTCCTCATTATTTATGTGTTGCTTTGTGTTTCATTTAATTTGTTTTTTTTGGGGGCTGCAGGCCAAAAAGGGAGATGATAACTGTGATATGATACAGTTATATTTGTTTTTATATTTTAAAAATAATTTTTAAAAAATAATTTTTTATTTTAAATTAATATTTTTAAATTATTTTGATATATTAATATAAGAAATAATTTTAAAAAAATAAAAATTATTATTTTAATATATTTTTTAATAACAATATTTTAAAAAATAATTGCAACTATACTCATAAATATATTTTAATAATTTTATCAATAATAATGGCCTAAGAGAGATTTTTTAATCTAGATTTTTCATGATAATGGACTATATAAATATTATGATATTTATAATTATTAATTTCAACTTGAGTTAATTTAATATGAATTTAATTATAAATTAATCAAACTAATATAAGATATATTATTTTTAAAAAAAATAAAAAGTTTTTTATAATTTTTTTTAAAAGATAAAATTATATTTTAATTAAAATATGAGATAACTGCTACCAAAAACAAGATTAACATCAAATTATTTTTGTTTTTTTTGTTACTTGACAGGCATAAGAAGAGTCAATCGGTCTTGGATTGAACCATTTAGCTAGATAAGGTTAAATAACAATGATATTGATATTGTGTTTGGGCTCTATTTTAGTTAATTTTGATTAATTTGATGTTTTTGTTATTTTTATCCTAATTTTATATTTAAAATAGCAATATCTTATTTTTATAATATATCTCTTATATCAAAGACCATAATTAAGATTTTCCAAAATGGCTTCAACTAGTGGAGAGAGATTCAATAAATTCATCAATTTAAGTTTAAGTGTCACCTAAATTTAATTAGTATTACTAATAGAGATAATTTAATTTTTGGTCTCGATATAATTATCATGATCTTTATATATATATATATATATATAGATGTTAGATTATGAAATAGCTATTTTCATGTTAATTTTAATTTAAAAAAGTTCAAAAAAAATTAATTGGTTGATTGACTGACGTGACAAGCCAATCAAGTTTTGATTTTTTAAATCTGGATTGATTGACATCCTGAATTAACCTGCCATGCCGGTTCGCATAGCTGCCTTCACTGCCTTTTTTTAGAAAATCATCATCAATTTCTGAAATTCATTCCTCACTTCAGTCACCAAGTCATTTAGTCCAGGCTTGGACTCAGCCACATATCGTGCAGCTGCTATCCAAAAGAGATATCCCATGGAATTCTCTGATAAGGGTGGTGCCATCTCTGAGCTGGCTACTTGGGCCTTAAGGTTGGCAATGGCTGAGGGATCAAACATAAATCTCCTGGTTATGCACTTTCCCTTTTTGTACATAGAACCCCACATAACAATCGATGAGTCTCCACGCCCTGTATCATTTGCAGGGAAGAGGGAGCCAGCAATGAACTCAGGGTACACTGTTGCTTCATTACTGCCTCAGGCTGTAGCAGTCCATGCCTTCAGAAACGAGCTCAAAGCAGCACCATCCAGACCTTGTGACATGTACACATGCCAAAGGCATTGCCACCACACAACACTCAAAGACGTTTTCTTGAACACTAGTCACGTATACTGCTGCAGTTGATTCCTTCACAATGAGTTCACAGGGAAGAAATTGACACACTGCCAGGAGGTCAGGTTGGCCAAGGAATTCATCAAGATTGAAGTCAAGAACCCTGGTTTCCAAATAATAGGACCCTTTGTCGTTGCAGTAAATGGAAAATGAGACGTCGTTGATCTTTCCACCAAGAGGATAAAATCTGTAGCAGCTCCAGTCTTGTGGGACATCAGGTGGCTAGGACTAAAGTTGTCATTCATGGGATTGAATAAGATTATTGGCGGAAGTTTGAACATGAGGGGGCGTATATGCTCATTTGTCCCTAAATAATATCAAGGGATACCCTTTTCACGGTAAATACCAAATATATTGTAGTGATTTCTCTTTGGACATCGATGCTACGCTTTCTCTAGTCTATTCTCGCCGAAGCACCACCTCTGCACAACTCTTAAAATAATGTACTTGTTCTTGGCAAGTGCTGTGGTGAGCAAATGATGAAACATAATTTACTACCTTAAGGCGTTGCAATCCAAGTACAAACTCCAAATTTATATAATTCTTGTCACAAACTGGCTTATGACGCAGCAGTACTGCTTACGGAAGCAGAAGAAATTGGTGGAGACATTACAAGAACCTACTTCTAGATGCTTTTACACTTCAAAACCTGGTGGATGGAAGTTTCCAGGTTCTCCTACCTTGGTAAAGCCATCTTAACGAAAAATGATTTAGTTCTGAGCAATCGTGTTGAGTTACAAGCCGCAGTAGGAATGGTAGCAACAATTGTGTAACGGGACACAGCTTAATTAAGAAAGATTGTCGCCAGCGTCGCTGTCAATACCATAGCTTTCATGTACACTGCACTGATTTATCGATGTCCAAAGGACTTGGGTTCAAAGATGCAAATTTGAGGAGCTCTGGATTGTCTTCTAAAATAGTCATGTCTTTTTCATCCAAGGTCACGAAAGCTTCTATGCCATCACACCTTGTGTCAGCCAAAATGATAAGGTTCATGGTAAGTGAACCTGACACGGCGAAACTGCTAATCCAAACAGGCTTGCCCCATCCAAAATCAGCATCATAGAAGCCAAATCTACACCAACTAGAAAAACCCAGGTAGTCTACTCCATCCTTGGAGCCAAATTCACCTATTTCTTTGAGTGTTTGCTCCGCCAGAGAATTGCTTTTATCACCTTTTATCTGCCCAACAAAGTCAGCATCAATTTTTGATATTGCTTTCCTCACCTCACCAACCAAGTCGTCTAATTCGACCCTGGACTTGTTCATGCATTTTGCAGCTGCTAACCATAGGAAATTTCCTATGGAATTCTCTCCCAAATTTGGTTCCATTTTTCTTCGCAGATTCACCAAGTGGGTTAGTAAAGAAGGCCTTTGGGATCCTCGCCATTCTTCTGAGGCTGCCATGATGCACTTCCACAGGAAAGATGAGACCACCTCGACGCGAGTGGGGCATTTCACTCCTAAGCTGGCTGCTTGGGCTCTGAGGCTGGAAATTGATGAGGCATCAAACACAAATCTTTTAGTAACGCCCTTGCCCTTTTTGAACAAGGAACCAAACATAACAACTGCTGAGTCTCTAAGCCACAAATCATTTGCAGGGAAGAGAGAACTGGGTATGAACTCGGGGTATATAATTGCTTCCTTGCTGCCTTTGGCTGTGGCAGACCATGCCTTGAGAAAGGTGCTCAAAGCAGCACCATCTAGGATAAGGTGCGATATGCATATGCCAATAGCAATACCACCACATTCAAAAACATTTACTTGAAAATTAGCAACATGTGTGACTGCTTTCGGAAGGAGTTCACATGGAAAGAATTGATGTGCTAACAGGAGGTCAGGCTGCCTAAGGAATTCACTGAGATGGCAGTTGACTTGTGCTTCCACATAATAGGCTCCTTCATCATTGCAATCAATGGAAAGCTCATCTTTGATCTTTCCGGCAAGTGGGTAAAAGTGAGTCAAAGTCTCTGATAGAGATTTTTTAAGCACTCCTAGTCTTCTGTGAACATCAAGATTGCTAGCACCAGAATTGTCATTCATCGGATAGTACAGGAGAAGCGGTGCGTATGGAACTGGAATAAGCTGGTCCAAAAGGGACAGCTTGAAATTTCTCAGGTGTGGAGGTGTTGGAGAAGATGGTCTTACATTTTGTTCGGAAATGATTTGCACTTCCATTTTCAATGGTTTTAGCTTCCTTTCAAGTTGTTTGAGAAATCTATCAAAGGTTCAACATGTTTTTATACTTGAAAGAACAAAATGACTCCAAACTAAGCACACGCAACTCCCAAAAGAGACAAAATGACTCCAAACTAAGCACACGCAACTCCCAAAAGAGCTGACATATCCAAGATTCTTCTCCTGTCAGTGTCCAGTTACCCCTGGGATCAAAATAAAAATATTGGGTGTTGGATAAGGGTTTGTACTTTGTATTAGGAGTTACCTTTATGCTTTCACAAAGTTTTTATTTATTTTATTTTTTGCAATTATCAGAATACGAGTGTTTTGACATTTTTTATATTTATTTTTTATTTTAAAAAATTATTAATGTATGCTTATTGTACCCTAATAAATACATGATGTTTGGACATCATGTGTGATATCACTCATTATCCAAATATAACTTTTTATTGTGTATTTGAAAGTTCCATCATGTTCTTTTTTTTTCATGATATAACATATAATATATTTTTTTCATGATATAACATATGATAATATATGGCAATTAAATTATTACTGATAGTCATTATTTTTTTTTATTCTCTTTTTTTTAATAAATAAATTGTGCAATTATCTTTTTTGTTCTTTTATTTTAACTTTAGTTTGCATTCTTTTGATTTCTTATTTTATTTTTATTCTTTCTAAAAAAATTGTTTTCTCAATTTAGTTTTTCTATTATAATTTCTCATATGTTTTTTTTCATTTCAAGTTTAATTTTTTTAATTTTTAATTTATTTTCTTGGTCTTTTTGCTAAAGCTTTGTTGGTTTTCAATTTTATCATTCAGTCAAAGTTCTTTGTATTTTTTTATTTGAGTCTTCATTCTTTTGATTTTTTATTTTCTTATTATTCTTTTTATAAGAGTTTTATCGGTTTTTAATTTAGTACTTCAATTATAATTTCTTATATTTTTATATTTTTTCTTTATTCTTTTGATTTTTAATTTATTTTCTTGATCCTTTTGTTAAAGTTTTATTGGCTTTCAATTTTATCCTTCAATTAAAATTTATGTTGTTTTATTTTTTCTAACTTGACCTTAATTCTTTTGATTTATTTTTTCTTTTGTTAAAGTTATTTTTCAATTCAATTTAACCTTCCAATTAAAATTTTTTGTTTGCCCTCTAATTATTTTTTTTTATTTTCACCATCATTATTTTAATTTTTTTCTTAGATCCTTTTGTTCAAATGATTTTTTTATTGGTTTCATCTTTCAACATTTGATTTGTTGTGAATTTAGTTTTGTATTTTTTTTATTTATAGCTCTTTCAGTCCAATAACTCATGTCACGAGTTTGAAAAGTTAATATTGTTTGAAATCTTTTTCTTTTCCTCATTTTATTTTATAATCTTATCATTTTATATTAGTTTTTTTTTAGATATTGATTTTATGGTTATTTTCGATTTTGTAGGTTTATTTTAGTATAATAATCTAGGTCTACTTGTCCTTTTTAGATAAAATTTTTAAAAAAATTATTCTGTTTATGTTTGGCTTTCTAAGTTATTATTTTATTTCATCTATAGTTTTTTTTATATATATACAAATGAACTTTATTTTTTAAAATAAAATATTTTCATTTTAAACTACTTTTTTTCTTTTTTCAAAATAAAATGTTTTATACATGAATGTGTATATCAAGTGAGATCACTTGAAAACAACTTTTTTCTTTTTTTTAAAAAAAAAAAAAACTAGATTGATAGCAACACAGGCATCTGATGCTCTTTGTTTGAACTCGTTAGAACACCATTTGCAGCCTTCAAGATCATAAAGTAACGACATTACAGGGGCAAAAGAGCTTATCAATTGTTGGATTTAAACATTATCTTCTTTCACAAGGTGGGCATCGTACGTTGGGGTGGAGACATCTGTGATGCTTGCGAACAAGGAAACTTATATTAAATTCCAGGGACTGCATCAAAGGGTTGTCTCTCTGTCCTTTGCTCTGTTTTTTTTTTTTTTTTTAATCTCTTTTGATGTTTAAGTGTGTCACAAAATTCAACTCTAACTCTGGCAAATCCACCTATTTGTTATGAAAAGAATCTCTTCGAGTTGATCTCGTCATCAAGGAGTCTGACTCTGTTTGAGTTCAACTATTCTATTAAATTGATAGTATAAAAAAATTATTTTTGAAATCTTATGCCAAAGAAAACAATACAAGAGGACATAAGCATAAGAAAAAAAAAATCAGTTTTTGTCAAAAAAGATTTCATTACGATAACTCTAATTCATATTTTATAACTAAATAATTTTTTCTAATCTAGTTTGTCTCTTTAAAAAAATCTATAAATTTTTAAATAGGTTAAAAATAGACCTTTACAAGATAGGAAAATTAAAACCCTATTTCAAATAGAGAAAAACAACATAAAATTTGAAATTAAACTAAAATTTAAAAATAAAAAAATTAACTTAAATAACATTTTTCAAGATTAATTTAAGAATTTTTTAGGGTTGAATAATTACCGTGAGCCGAAACCTCAATGAGATGTATAGAGTTTTTCAATCAAATTTGAACATGATTCAACAATTATTTTAAAAGGAAAATATTTTTTTGTCAAATTATTTGTTAGCACATACATGTTTTTTTTAAAAAAAAAAAATTAAGTATGCTTTTTTAATTCATAAATAAATCTACTAAGCTTTCAAAGATTCATTAGTAACGAAACTTATGAAGTGATCTTGGAACAGAGAATCATTTGAGCATCATTTGGTTATTAGATTCTTAATTAAATATCTTTGGACATCCATTAATTATATGAATATCCATCCAATTATTTTGCTTAAACTCCATGGGTACGTGTATCTTGAGATCACTTGAAAGCTCCTGCTGCTTCTTTCTTTAACTAGATTGATGGCACTGGAAGCATCTGATACTCTTGGTTTTAACTCATTAAAATGCCATTTGCAGCTTTCTGCATCATGAAGTAACAAGATTACAAGGGCAAAAGAGCTTAGCAATTATTGGATTTCACATCATTGTTTTCATAAGGTGTGCATAATAAGTTAGGTCGAGTCGTCTCTGTTGTTTGCGAACAAGGAAACTTAAATTAAATTCCAGGCACAGCATCAAAGAGTGCTCTGTCTTTTGTTAGAACATCGAAAGAGTTCTTACAACTTCTCAGTTTTTTCAGTCTCTTTTGATGTTTTAAGTGTGTCAGAAAAATACAACACTAACCTCGGCAGATCCAGCGATATGTGGTCACAGACAATCAGATCCCATGATGTAGTAGTCAGGAGTTTCACCATTAATATTAATCCCGGCATGGCATGACACTGCATGTCAATTTAATGATCTGTCGATCTAAAATTTGATCCAATCTAATCTTAAATTAAATCAGAAGTGAAGTGATCATGTCACCTAGTTGACATGACAGGTTAACCTATAACCTAATTAATCCAGTCAAAAACTAGTTTAATTTTTAAACAAATTAAAAAATATTGTTTCATCATTGAAAAAACAATAAAACACAACAGCTATGGATCAACCTGCCAGCCCATAACAAGGTCCTTGGGCTGAATTATCGGCTAGGCAGGGTTTAATAAATAACTTGATAAAATCTCCTCAAATTCGAGATAATTATAGATGCTGTGTTTCTCAAAAGAAGGTTGAATAAATTTACAACTCACGGCGTCCCACTGCAGTGTCCTGCAAAGATTTTCGTTCTGTTTCTGTTAGATTTGATCGATTTATTTTTTTTATGAGAAGGATTTTGTTGTTATTTTTTTATTTTGTGGAACAGTTCAAGATCTACGACAATATAACTTGGGGTTCGTTACAAATCATATTAGTAAAAAATAATATAAATTATATTTAATTATTTAAATTATTGAATTAAAATAATTTTTTATATAGTATTAAAACCTTAATAATTAAATTGTTACAAGTTTAAATATCAGTATTTTTTATTTATTTAATAAAAAATAAGCATAAAATAAAATAAGTTTAAATAAATTTTAAATTTAAAAAATTTAATTTAAAAAAGTATATTAAAAAATAATATAAATTATATTTTAAAATCTCATCTAATAATTTAAATTATTAAAATAAAATAATTATTTCAATTTAAATTATTAAAATAAAATAATTATTTCACGTATATAATTTTTTTAGATTAACAAGATGTCCGGACTAATTTGATATATAGCCACAATGGACCTAGCTAGAATCGAGAGTGAGATCTACCGTTCGAGAACAAGCGCCTGCACATGCTGATGCTACAAGTTGAGCACGAGAACATCTACCTTGTCTTAACTAGAATAATCTACTTGTGCCAGCATAGGTATTTGTCATCATCTTGACAAGGAGGAGCAAATAGCTCAGCTAGAAGCCACTTCTTCCTTCTTGAATGGAATACCATGTTCTTGCCCAGCTGATCGTTGCAATAGATTTGCGGCAAAACTCTAACGCACGATCTTTGGCAGCTCTCATTCGCATAGTTCCTCATGCATCTTTCCCAGACAAATTCAATTTTGCCCTTTTACTACAAATAAGTAACAAAAACCTAACTTTTTTTAACATTTTTATTTTTCTTGCTTTTCCCTTCTTCTTTTTTTCCCCTCTACCATCACCATACATGTCATCCTATAGCAAACTAGAAAGATAACATTGGACAATTTTAAATTTTAGGGGTGGAAATCTACAAGGGTAAAATAGTGCTCATCCAACAGTACACTTTATCAATTGTTCATTTTGGAGGCAGAAAATTTAGGAAGATTGACAAAATTACAACACAATCAATCAACAAACCATGTTCAATGCAATTCAATATATTAACAGGAAGCGGTTGTTATCTTCCAATCAACATTGATTTACAGTCTACTAGTGTTTCCCTTTGAAATGCTTCCCATGGCCTTGGCCTTCTCCTTCAAGACAAATTTTTGTACCTTTCCAGTTGAAGTCTTTGGCAATTCCTGAAACACAACAGTTCGAGGTGCCATGTAATGGGGCAAATGATCTCTACAAAACTTGACAAGTTCTTCAGAATTCGCATTACAGCCATCCTTCAACTTCACAAATGCACAAGGTGTTTCTCCCCAGTGATCATCAGGTCGTCCTACTATAGCTGCTTCCAGAACTGCAGGATGACTAAAGAGTACAGACTCTACCTCAATTGAGCTGATATTTTCACCCCCTGAAATTATAATGTCTTTCGATCGGTCCTTTAGCTCTATGTAACCATCAGGATGTTTCACCCCTAAGTCCCCACTCCTAAACCATCCACCATTGAATGCATCTTTTGTTGCTTTCAAATCTTTTAGATATCCATTCATCACAGTATTGCCTCTAAACATAACCTCACCCATGGTCTTTGCATCTGCCGGTACACTCTTCATGGTAACGGGATCTTTTATATCAAGCTCCTCCAACCCAAGATGCTGCACCCCTTGACGAGCCTTGATCTTTGCTTGACTTTCTCGAGGTAATGATGCCCATTCAGGTTTCCATGTGCAAACTGTACCAGGACCGTAGGTTTCTGTCAAACCATATGCGTGAGTCACGTGAAATCCTAATTCTTCCATCTTGTACAGCACATGAGATGGTGGGGGCGCACCTCCTGTCATGACTGACACTTTTCCTGGAAGAGGCTTTCTATCTCCAGCTGATGCATTTATTATCATGTTCAAAACTGTCGGTGCACCACCCAAGTGAGTAACCTTGTGCTGAGCAATATTTTCAAATATATCTTTCGCAGTGACATTTCTCTGACAAACATTAGTACCACCTTGTGCAGCCACTGCCCAAGTAAGACACCAACCATTGCAATGAAACATGGGGACACACCACAGATATACAGGCATTGAGCTCATCTCATTAAGAAGAACAGCAGCGAAAGAATTAAGATAAGCTCCTCTATGGCTATAAATAACACCTTTTGGACTTGATGTAGTGCCTGATGTATAATTAAGCGAAATGGGATCCCATTCGTCTTTCGGCCATCTAACTTCAAAGTTCAATTTTCCGGTTGCCAAGAGACTCTCATATTCCAAGATTCCAGGACAGGAAATGGCAGCCGGCTGACCACACTCAGAGATTAAGACAAGAAGCGGCAGCTTGGTTTTTGTCTCCCGGAGAATCTCAAATGCTCCTTGAGCAATTGAGAGAAATTGGTAGTCTACAAAAATAACTTTAGCCTCCGAATGTTTCAGCAAGACAGAAACCATTGAAGAATCATGGCGGACATTAAGAGTACACAAAACTGCCCCCGCCATTGGAGCACCAAAATGTAGCTCATACATTGCTGGTATATTTGGGGCCAACGCAGCAACCTGTTCAAATTACTTGAAGTTAAAGCTTAGCAAAAAGTTACATTATTTACAATTAATATGTAAGGATTGAAGAAATTAATAAACCCCGGATAGAATAAGAAGCAAATTTACAAGAGCAAGTGGTGTAATTTCTTTTGCAGAAATCACATCATTTTTTACCATTTGTGACGGTATATTTATTTCAAGACAATATCCCATTTTTTCCATAATTTAAGTATCAAGTGGTGAATTTTTATATTGTATTTTAGGCCAAAGACTAGCAGTATGATTAAAAGCAACGAGATAAAGTTCTCTAAAAAGAAAAGGGAGTAAGAGGAGACAAAGCAAAGTCCTTTCTCTATTCATTCAATCAAAAGCCACCCACCTTCTTGTCCACTATTTAGCAATCATAGTAGAATAGCACCAAAGAGAGAGCGGGGAGGGGTTGGTGGGGGGAGGACCTAGAATTGGACTCTTTACATTGTGGCAACTTCTTGCATCCAAGTGCACCCAGACAGGGAATCCTATGTGGTCCATTCAAAAGCAATGTACGCTACATACGTCTAAAATTCTTTATTCAACATTCGTCAAATTCCATGTTGAAACAAAAAATCTGTTCTATATTCTTTCCTAATCTTTTGTGATCTCTAGCATTTTGTTAGTAAGGTGATAGACATTGACAAGCACCACGACACTGTGTGGCCAACAACAAATCACAAAATAGACAAACAAATACTGCTAAATCTTGCCATTAACTCCACTAAATCAACATGAAATTCAACGAGAAGCCAAATTCATCCATTTCAAAAACAAACGATCAAAACCCTCAAATATTTTGAGATGAAGAAGGTAAAGATTATCATAACTTTCGGCAAATCAACACAAAAACGCTTTAAAACGAGGGGGAGAGAGAGTAGTAGTTACCACATCACCAGGGGAAATCCCGAGATGGGCAAGAGCAGAAGCGAGTCTGATACACCTCTCATGAGTCTCCTTCCAGGTGTACTTAACATCACCATCGATGACAGAGTTTCTGTCTCTGTAAACAATCGCTGAGCGTTCAAGAAAGCTGATTGGAGTCAAAGGAACGTAGTTAGCTGAGCATTTGACCATGCCCTCCATTTCTGACACCAGAATTATCACTTCCTTTCTTGCTTTTTTTTGCTGTTTCTTATCTTCACCAAATCCTATCCGTACATTAATTAATGTCAGCAAGAACTAACTAGTTTCTACTCCATTGACACCAAGAAAGTTGCAGCTGAAAATAATAAAGCGTTGTCTGAACAAGAGACGGGACCTCTTTAAGGGATTTGCTGGAGTAAATTTTATTCTGTCCCTGTAGAATCAACAATGTTCACCTTCTGCCCCTATATGTAGAGTTTCTCAATATTGCCCTCCTGTTTTCTATAAAGTTCCAATACTAGCCATAGCCATGAAATAGCCTGTTTTTTTGGATGTCTTTTGTATTTTATTTTAGGTTATCAAGTGCTTTTATAAAATTAAAATATTTAAAATGGGGATATGAGAGGAAAAAATGAGATAAATATAAGAAAAAAAGTTTAAAAGCATATTCATTTATTTTCTTTATAAAATGAATAGAAAAAAACTAATTAATGTATTTAAATTATGCACATCAGGTGTTTTAAAGATAATTGTTAGCTCGTACTGTTTATTGGAAGTCAAAGCATTGAATATAAAGTCACCTATTTTTTAATACGAGATTTTTATTTTTAATTATAAAGAAAATATTCAAATGAGAGATCTTGAGGAGAAAATCCGAGCTAATTAATAATTTAATTGATTAAGATTAAGTTTGATAAAAAAAAATTATTAATCTTATTTTAAAAATAAACTAATATATTAAACTTGTGACACTATTCTTATCTTAAATTTAATAATTATGATATCAATGCCCTTGATTTTTTTTTCATAAATAATAATTACTTATACGCATCTAACACATCTAGTGCACGGAAAAGATATTTTTATTCATAGAAAAAAGAATGACTCCTTAGACTATCATACGTGGACAAAAATATAACTCCTAGAGAGAAGGTCTGAAAGGGAGAGTAGAAAGAGATGGAGCACCCGGCGCAATTAAACCCCGATGGGGATGAGAGATGATGCCCTCAAATCAAGCTTGCTGTTTTAGTGTAAGGTGGGGTGCTCAACATATCTGAAAATGAGTGAAATCTAACAGTGACCGGAGTAGTTCAATTTCTTAGTTTCTTAACAATGATCTTAACTTTGTAAATTGATAATGCTTCCAATAACAACAAACCATAAGAGATCCTTACATTTGCTTTAGAGCATGGCTGACTCCGTCACGTTACAGCATGAACTTAATTATTTCAGATTCAACCATCACCGAAGCTAAGTTGTAGAAGTACATGGCTATTACTTTATAACATAAATTGGAGAAGAAACATGCAAGGCAAACTGTAATTAAGAACGACAAACTTCTCTGATGTTCTGGTCTTTGATGATGTCTTCTTCATTATATTCTGAAGCAAAATTAAGCATTCGTCCTTGCTTTCCTTCAATCTGAATGTGGAAACCGTTGCAGAATCCCAAAGCTGGAGATCTAACCATGTCTCTTCCCTTGACTTTTCTCCACCTAGTTGATCAACATTTGATTCCCACAGTTAAGTCTTGATCTTCGATATCATTTAACATGCATGATTGTGTATGTGCAATAGAAGTACCTCTATTTGGAGACTAAGAAATGTAAGAATACAGGCATTAAAACCCTACTGAACTCTACTCCAGCACATGACCTTAAGCCTCCTCCAAAAGCTATGAAGATCTTTGCAGTTGCAATAGCTCCCGTGTTCTTTAGAATGTTTTGAGAAATGATAAGTTAGCAGAGTTTAAGAGAAATAGAGGGAACAAGATGATGATTGGCAACTTGGGGTCAATTCAAGACAAGGAAAAGTGCGTACTTACATCCCATCTTGATGGATCAAAGGCAAGGGGATCTTTATAGGTGTTGGGATTTAATTGAACAGCTGCTGGAACAACCATGATAGTCCAGCCTTTAGGGATTGTGTATCCTGCAAGCAGGTTTGGCTTAATTAGTTCAGGACTAATTTGCTAACTATCTAGACTAGCCAAGGTGATCTGGGATTGGAATTCACCTTCAACTTGAATGTCTTTTATGGCCCTTCTAAGCATTCCTGGAGCAACACTTGCCAACCTGAGTGATTCGTTAACAACCTGAATTCATCAGAAATGGTCAGGTGATAAATTTATCAGGAAAAGAAAGATATGTTAGGATGATGAAGAAAGAGCCAAGATGTGAAGACTTACATGATGGGTATGGGTCATGGATTTATATTCTTTCCTGGAAGTCCAGAATCTGTACCTTTTCTTCTCTCAAGGATTCTCTCGTGCTCCACTTGGGAAGGTACAGAATCAATCTTCATCAACAACTTGTTTTCAAGAGTTTTCAGTAATTTTTAGTTTACTTACCGTCAGCTTCTGCACCACTGGAGGGTAGTCTGTGAGAAATTAAATGGCTAAAGCAAGTGTGGAGGATATAGTATCAAAGCTGGCAAGGAGCAGCCCAAACATCATGTAAATGGCAAACTCATCTGTCCAAAAATTTTCCTTTTGCATGTCTTCCACAATTTGATCAAGAAAATCTCCTTTGCGGATCTCTGGATGGCGCCGTCCCTCTTCTAGCAGTTATTGGTTTTATAGCCCTCTTCTGGTTCTGCATATAATCATAAACAGTAACTGACTTGAATGAAGCCAATAAAAAGAGCTATGGTTTTCCAAAATAATTACCTTTGAACATCTCTGAAATGCTGTGCCAGGAATATTCAAAGAGATTGACATGAGTCCTAGCAAGAAGTAGGTGAAACTTTCAGCTATATTTTCCCCTGATTTTTCTGATTCATAACTGAACGATACTTTTGCAGTAAAATCAAATTTCATCTGCAAGTTTTTGGGAAAAAATGGAGAAAAAGATGTTGAGGCAGTCATAGTAGCTACAAGTCTTATTGCGAGGCATGAAAAAACAGCAGCGCTTATGATGCTTCATTCCATCAATGTAGAGCTACAATTTAGGAGTTATTCAAAAGGTAACTGGAAATTTAAGCTCAAAATTGATTTACAGATGAACTGGCTCTCTTCACTTATACAGTTGGTCGCTTAGACCAATCCTGCAATGCTTGGCTTATAGCAGTTTCTAACTATGGCAGCAGCTTATCTTTGAGGGGCCCAGGGCCAAAATAAGCCAAGACTAAGTTCCTGGGGTATTTGTGTATGGAACCATGTTTCGAAATAACTGATGTGGCATCTTGGTGAAGAAGCTTGGCAAAGGAATCCATGTAGCATCTTTCAACCAATTTTCCTTCTTGTTGAAGAAGGTTATAGTTGTAATCAGCATCTGATGATACAATCACTGGCCTACCCACCAAGCTGGTTCGAGACAGTGGATCCTAGCTGCAATAACAGAACAAATAGATATTATTCTTAATTAATGTGAAAAATAAATAAAACAAGAGGGCTATTTTCTGCTCCCTTTCTAATTCTCTTCTTGATAAAATTTGGGATGTCTAGTGACTTGCTTGGAATGAGAAACTGCAAGGTCTCCCCAATCTATGGGAAGCCCATGGAGCCAGGAGGTAGATTTCCATTGTATTTTGGGTTCCTCCAGCTATAGATCCAATGAGTGGTGCTTATTACAAGCAAAATTATTACCAGAACTGAGAAGTAAACAGACCACATCTCCATTATTAAGAGTTCAAAACATGACAATACAAGCACTTTAGCTGGATTCTTGTTGAAGATCGTGCTAGCTAGAGACCTTTTATACAGGTAGCTAGCTATCTGTGATCATGCTACTACATGTGACAAGTATAAGAATACATTTGGCACCTAACTGATTTATATCAGGTTGACTCAAGTATGATCCAACTACGACTGCTATACTCTCAGCTAGTCAAGTCTCCAATTCTGAGTTTAAATGATAGCCACACAGAAGAAAATTAGACCACGGCTTGAGAAGTAAATGTTAAGATAAGATCTTTCTCTCTTTTCTCTTACTGAATGTCGAGCTTTTGTAAGATGGTGCTCTAGGTGGAAGTTCAGTAGCAGTGTTCTTCTGCTGTTGACAAAACAGTGATGGATGACGTGGTTTTTGGAGTTCCAATTTTTTTCTTCTGTTTTTCTCTTCATTTCATGGGAATATTTATCATATGCTGAGAAATTTTGTTTGATGAAGAAGAAGAGTCATAAGATGTTGGTGTTGCAATAATTGTTGAGTCTTTTTTTCCTACCTGTTGTTCTCACTCTTTTTCTATGCTTCTGATAATTTCCACTTTGCTCCCATTGGAAGTGGACAGACCACACAAAGGATAAATCGGATCTACTTGGTCATTCGTTGACTCATAGTATAGTAGTGAAAAAAATCTGTTTTTAAAAACATCATTTTAAGTTTTTTTTTTTTTAAAAAAAGAGCTAATTTGAATCTTAGTTACGCAACTCGTAATTCAGACAGTGTCTACACCTTGGTCGAATTCGGAAACTATATGGAAGTAATAATTATGTTGACCTGAAAATTAAAAATCAGATCACTCTCAAAAGGAGAAAGAAAGCAAGAAATTCTAGCATTGGAGTCCTTTATTGAAGTAATAACTATGTTGACCTGAAACTAGGTTTTATTTTAATTTTTTTTTAAATAAATAGTAACTAATCTACAGGTTAACCTATTCAGCCTTTTTCCCCTTTTTTTTTATGGTTTGGGGGGTGGAGCAGTTGCAGCTAAGAATTTCGAAAGGGTATCAAGGGACAGTTACAGTTACTATAATAAAAGTATATTTATGCAAAATCCGAACATGTCAAGGAAAGAAATCACTGTCATGCCTTAATCAAATCATACTTGCTAATCATAACCGCCAGCTCAAGAATTTGACCGTTTAGCCGCTCCCCTGCCTCAATTCAAACACACAGTCCATTGCCTCTCAATAAAACCCTAAAAACAGCAGAAAAGAGAACCCATTACACATTTCAGATCAAAAGGTAAACCATATTCCATCTCTTTATTTAATTTTCTGTGATCTCTTTAACCTTCTTTCTCCATACACAGTTTTCTTTGAAGAAAATGTCAAGTATGAAAACCGTTGGCAAGCCTCCACTTGCTAAATCGCCCACCAGGCTGCGTCCTCGCCGTTCTATTCGATCTGAATCCACCACTTCACAGACTCCTCCTGGTAGGTTTGTTGTTTATTATAGTTCTTGTTTGCAGTTGTTGTTTGTGGGGTTTGAAGGTTTTTAACAAAGTTTTTGGTTGTCAGGTTCTTTAGCTAAATCTCAGAGACCAAACCGGAAATGGGACATGGAAGAATCTGATCTCCGCCCCGAATACCAATCAATATCCTGGGAATTACGTGCTCTAGCGAAGATGACTCGCGGTGAATTTGGAAATGGGGAGTCAAGTAATGGTGGAGTTGGTCGAAGTTTGAGTGCAAATTCTAGCCCTTTGTTTGAGAGAGGCAGGAAAAAAAGAGCTAATTTGAATCTTAGTTACGCAACTCGTAATTCAGACAGTATGAGGTGAAGACTCCTTGTAATCTTGGAGTAACTATCGAGTCTTCAAAGAGGAGGGATTCGAAGAAGCTTGAGAACTTGAGGAAATCTGTTTCTGCTGCTTACTATGTGGAGAGAAATGAGAATCCAAGGTACATGTTGAGGAGCATGAATAAGGAGAACAAGAAGCCTCCTTTGCCTGTTCACAAGTACGAGAAATCTGTGCTTGCAAGTGAAAGGAAAGTTACTGCTCGGAAGGCTAGGAAAATCTGAATGTTAGAATTGGGTTTTAAAGATGGTTTTATTGATTTTGAATCTTCTTTGGGAATTTGCTTTGTAAGGGAAACTGGATCTTACATCATACTCTTATGAGTATTGTTATTGTTTCAAGTAAATGTTTGTTGCTTTCTTGCATCTCTGTTTTGTCGTTTGATGCTCGAGGTGATAGGATTATTATCAGCTGGCTGCATCTCTCTCCAGAAACTTGATTGGAGGCAAGGATTTTTTTAGAGATTTAGAGTCCTTGTTAATATTACATGGCACCTAGTGAAAAATTAACGTAACTTGATGAGTATTTAAAATGGTCCAAGAGGAGGATAATTTGTAAAGAACGGTCTCATTTAATATTACTTGGCTTCTGCTTTCATTTTTCCAACATGTCAGCAGCACCTAGCTCAATGCTCTCAAGACTGACATGGATTTTGGGGATAACTACAGTAGTCGGAAGAGATTTTAGCGACCATGGACGGAGAACGCATCAAAGGGGAAGAATCATTGAAATTCTTGCAATATATCTGTTCAATGCTGGTGATGATTATTATGCCAATATATCTGTTCAATGCTGGTGATGATTATTATGCCTTGAATTTTGACAAAAATCATCAAACAAGAGTTAATGTGATAATAATTCTAATTAGAATCCAAAACCTATCACAGTACGAGGAAGAAGTCAACAAATCTTTACAAAACTAAGAAGGATCACGATTTTTGCAAGTATAAAAAACTATGATTATGGCTATTAAGATTTGTTGCAATAAGAAGTGCAGAAGTACACGAGGTGTACAAAACTGATTGTGTTACTATGATTATGGCTATTAAGATTGCAACAGGAAGTGCAGAAGTGCACAAGGTGTGCAAAACTGATAGTGTTTGTAAACAGCGTTGTATCTTATGTTGTAACTAGAAGATATGCAAGGCCTTTCAAATATTCAACAATTTCAGATCCTCCTAGCTTTGAACTCCCAAATACTCTGTCAACGAAGGTAATCGGGACCTGAGCCAAATTCAAAACCAAAATCAAGGATCTTCGGACAATAGTATCAAGTAGTCTACAGTACAAATTTCAACACAAACAACTTAGCCATACATGAAAGAGAAATTGGGTGAGATAAATAACCACACAATAGAGGTTGTTAACAGAGAAAGGCAGCAATACAACTAAAAGAAGCTGTAAACTGTAGAGCTTTCAGAATTATCTAGAGTTTATCCAGCTACATCTTTAAATATTCAGAATTCAATTGGAATTTTACCATTCAACAAATATTATTATCCAACAGGCATGATGACAAGAATATAGTATACACTAAATGAATAGGGAATTGAAACATTTATGGAACAAGGTAAACTATTGGCATGTCCTGGGCTATGTAGTTGTTCAAGCCACAACCAAGATGAAGAAAGCATATCAAGATGCATAGCCACACATGCATGAAAAGCGTAGTCTCAAAACTCAGGCCAGTCAAAGTTGGCAAGAACAGTCACAATACTGTATGACGTGAAATGAACCAAAGCACACAATAACAGTACATGTATATTGATTTTAATGATAAACCACAATAACATGAAATACAACACTACCTCCTCGATATGGTAGCCTTTTCTGGAAGCCCGAACAATCATCTCCATTTGAAAGACATATCCCTTGCTAACCACAGAACTGATAATATCTTCAAACACTGATTTCTTATAAAGCCTTCAAGAAAGAAGTAATTTCAGTTCTAAATCACCAAGTGTCAGGCACTAAATGAATGAAAACCATACAAAAATTCATACCTGAAAGATCCTGTCAGATCAGATACACCAGGCCACAGAAGTGTTTGAGCAAGAACATTAGCTCCCCTACTAGTTAGCTTGCGCATTAGATTCCACCCATGTACGCCTCCACCCTTAACATATCGGGTCCCAGTAACTATGCATGCACCAGTCACCAACTGTTTCCTAATGGCATATCATGGGGAAAAGGCCAGCAAACTTTAGGACATCGGCACCTGTGGTCTAATAAAAGAGCAAATAAGTGTATAGCGCATATACATGCACGTTGGAAAAGGTTGCTTACTTGATAAAGCTTGGCAGATACTTTGGCTGCAAAATATAAAGCACACAGATCAGGTTAACAAAACAAGCCACTATTGTCATTTCCAATTCCAATCATGAGCATGCTCGGAAAAGCTAAATAAGCAGCTAAAGCTCATATGGCCCATCATGCATTCCTGTTTGAATTTTTCATTCATTTCTACAGGAAAGGACAGGATTTTCAAGTAAGATATACAAAAACAACATGCAGAAGATCCCGGGAAAAAAAATCTATTAGTAGACATCTATAAATATAGACACCACCAAGAGGCTTCAATCACTCAAAAGTTACAAGTTAGAACTAAATATTAAACATGTGAAAACAATTGAGCAGTACTTACATGGTGAGATAGATCAGCATCCATGATGACAACAAAATTCCCAGATGCATGCTTCAACCCATGAATGTAAGCCGTACCTAGCAACATAAACAAACATCAAGAACCAGTTTTTTTCGATTCTTATTATATTTATCAGACACAACAAATTCTTATTATATTTATCAGACACAACAACAATGCTACCTACCTAGTCCAAGCTTCTTCGCTCTAGGTCTTAACAACTGCATCATCAAAACCAGTCAGAGATAATTAATTACACACTATCATCTCAAGCAAACCCAAAAACGAAAGATTGATCAACCCCGTTGAAAAGGTCTAAAAGAGTCAACTTTTGATCGCCATGATACACTTACAATGCGATCTTCACCATATACTTGCTGTAACTGCTTAACAACTTCTTGAGTACCATCAGGACTCCCATCATCCACGATAATAACTTCAAAATCAACATCCCTAATCCAGTCATGACAACACAAATTACATTAATTAACCTTCCAACTAACAGATGATCACAGTAATTTAATCATTTCTATGCTAAAATAAGCAGAATTCGAAGCAGAAATTTTCCGAAAGCAGTGAACTTTGATGCCATCAAATCATTATGATAGAGAAAAAGGGACAATTGGAGAGTGGAATTACCGGAGGTGTTTGAAGATGAGATAAACGATGAGTGCAATGTTGAGACGCTCGTTGTACGTTGGGACTATTATGCTGTATTTGTTCTTCTTCTCTTTCTCCATTTTCGTTTTGATTGTAAGCCCTAATTTTGGAGCAGAGCTGAGATTTAGAAGAAGACGCAAAATTTTACAGAGGGAGAAAACTAAAAAGTCCTCCGATACGAATCCGTCGTGGTGGTGATCGAGGAACGGAGGGATGGTTTGGGTTTGGAGGCCGGTTTGTTCGATATGGGCTGAAGCTTCGTCTTTTGGGTCGACTTTAGATGGGCTAGAGACGGTTAAGAAGAAAGGGAGCACCAACCTGGAAACCACCGTAAAAAGTTTTCAAAAATTAATTGCACTTTTAAGGTTGTGTTTTTTTAAAAAAAAAGTAATTTAAAAAAATAAATAAATTTTGTGGTTATTTATTGTTAAAAAAATTAATTAACAGAAAATATTTTCCACTTAAAAAAAATTAATTTGGTTTTCAGAAAAATATTTTCTTGAAAAATTTAAATGAAAAACATTTTTTGAAACTTATAAAAAATTTAAAAATATCGTATTATTTATTGATTATATCAAATTCGGTCCTCAAAATTTTGGTTGCTATATATATTTTATTTTTAATATTTATTTTTTAATTTTATCTCTTAAAATTTAATTTTTATATTAACTTTAGTCCTCATTTTTATAATTGTTATTTTCTTTTTTCTTATTATTTTTTATTAAAAACTTTTATCTATCAAATTTTTTTCTTATTCTTTTGATTGTTACTTATTTTATCTGAAATAATTTATGAAATTTTAACTGTTATTATTTTAATTTCTCCATCTTTCTTTTTTATTATTTTTTAGATTTGATCTCTATTATTTTGATTATTATTTATTTTATTTGAGATAAGTTATGAAATTTTTTTTTTAATTTCATTCTCATTCAAAATTTTAATTTGTAAGATTTATTCCTCGTTATTTTAATAAACTTGAGAAAAACAAAATATTAATAATTTATTTTCAGCTCATTTCCCATAACACAACCGAATATTAAAAAGTATTTTCCAACTTATTTTTCATTGTATTATCAAACATCATAAAATAATTTATTTTTCTGAAATTCACTTTACCAAAATTTACTTTTTAAAAGAAAACTACTTTCCAGCAAATAAACAGGATTAAGAAAGAAATAGAGGTAACAACTAGCCATGGTTGACAATTATTATTTTTTAAAAAAAATAATAATTGTTTAGGTTGTCTTGATATTTTATTATATAAAAAATTTAAAGTGTAAATTGAAAAATCAATGCAAGTAAGTTTAAAATATTTTATAAGATGAAATGAAATGCGTATTCGATTGTGTTTACTAAATTTGTTTATTTAAATAAATAAAAGACAAATATACAGAATAAAAAACTCATAATCTAAAAGATAAAATATAAATAAAACTAACTGAATAAACTAACACCATAAAAAATATTATGCAAGGTTGAATACATTAACATTATAATTTAAAAATAAATTTCATTTGAATAAAAAAATATAGATGAATTAGAATTATACTTTTAAAAAATAAAATAGGTACAAAATTGAACAACCAATAAAAACTTACATTGAAAACAAAAGCAAAAATTATGATATTGGTCATAAAACTGAGATAAATTCATAGAAAAAACTTGAAAATAATCACAAAACTAGTATTGAAAAAAATAATACAGAACAATAAACCGTATAAAATTGAATTCCCAACAAATTAAATGTCAGAAGATGAAATTATATATATAAAAAAACCAATTAACTATGCAAAAAGATTGAAAAAAAATGAGGGTGAGAAAAAAATTAGCTAGAGAGATAAAATTTTCAATTTGAAGGTTTAATTAAATTAAAAAATAGCTTTAATAAAAGAAAAAAATAAAAAGAGTGATTGTTAAACTGTAAAAAACAAATCAACAAAAAATTTAATTGAATAATGAAAATGAAAGAAAAAAAATCTTCAAAAAAAATGTGAAGGAAAAAATTAGAAACAATAAAAAAGGGACTACAATGAAAAATCAAATATGTGAGAAATCGCAATTGATGATTAGAATAAAAATAATAATAAAATTTATAAATAAATAAAAAACAAATTAACAAATTAAAAGAATAAAGAATAAAATTAAAAAGTAAAAAATAAAAAAGATAAGGATGCACATTACCTGTCATAAAAGAAAAAATAAAAAGAAAAAATCAAACAACTATTGATAACAATCTAATCACCATCAGCTGTCACACGCCACTCTAGATAGAAGAGAACATAATGAAACATTTAGAAAGACGATGGAAAACTAGTTGCATCTATCAGGTGGTGTTACATGCGTTACCTAAATATTATCCACGTGATAAGACTTGTCAAGCACATTTTAATAGTTTCAAGTAGTGAAAAATCCAAACAACTATAAAAAATACCAAAATACCTTCGAATGATAAGTTTATGTTTTATCCATTCCAATGTTAAAGATGTGACTGAATTGTACATTAAAATTTAAAAATCTTAAAATATTTTTATCTAACAATATAATAACCTTTTGACTCAACGAGCAAATATATATTTTTATTGTTTAAAAATTTATATAAAATTAAAAAAATCTTTGGTCAACAAGTTTATATTTTATTGATCAAAGGCAAAAATAATATTTTTATGATATATATATAAAAAACATAAACATCCTTACCTAAAAAACTTCATTTTTTTAAAATTAAAAAACAACAAAGTAATTTTACCATTGTCCAATACACATTTTATTGAAAACTGAATTACGAGTAAAATATTAATATCATTTAATATTTTTAGACAATGAAAGTTTTTGGATCATCTAAATTTATCTTAATAGAAATTTCACACCCTCTAATTTTATCTAAAAGCAAAAGTTGATGGATGTTCATGAGAGTTTTTGTTCAAACCTAGTTTTTATTAAATAAAATACATATATTATGAAAAAATAAAAATATTTTATATTTTTCAGAAAAAATAAAGAAACTACACAATTGGTTTCTTTTATCTATATCAACGTCAATTCTTTACTTTTAAAATTATTTAATTGAAAACCTGAGTTATTTTTAAATCATCAAGTTATATTGAAATATTCGTGTTTCTAATTTATTTGACATATATGATTATATAATGACACTTGATGACTGAAGGGTATCTTAAATTTTTAATATAATAAATATTATATTTTTAAAAAATATATCCATTAGTACAAATAAAAGTAAAAGAGACAAAAAACTGGTATAAATCATTACGAAGATTTTAACCACTGAAAATATCATGAAATCACAATTTGCCGCAAAAGAGTCCGATGATCGGATGGCAGAGAGTTAATCATCAAAGTCTTCATATCGACCTCTGGTTCTCAAGACCGAGAGACCTTCTTCTACAGCCGTTTGCTTTTATGATGACTACAGCTGTTTACATGTAGTCTTCTTAGCAAGCCACGTCAAGAACCGTAAAAGGGATGGTGCAGTCACGCCACCTCAGGACTTAATCTCTGTTATTACGAAAGAGTCCCTGTGTTCACTATAATGGCAAATGTACCCTTACTTGCTATAAATACAACGCAGGATTAAACAGGGAAAGGACTGGGTTGCTTGTCTCTTGGGGTTAATTAGGGTTTTGCACAGAGAGAGAAGAAGAGGAGGAGCGATGAGCAGAAGCTTAGGGATTCCGGTGAAGCTACTACACGAGGCTTCCGGTCACATAGTGACGGTGGAGCTGAAGAGCGGAGAGCTTTATAGAGGAAGCATGGTAGAGTGCGAGGATAACTGGAATTGCCAGCTCGAGAGCATCACTTACACTGCTAAGGTACCACTTCTTTTATTTTATTTTTTATCCATGCTTACGAAACCTTAGGTTTTGCGGCTGTAGAGTGAAATTACGAGTTCGAATCCTTTTCGTTTACTGTTTTGTGAAACTCCGGGATCTATTGCGTGAGATTGGGAAAAGTTTCGTGGGCATTTTGAAAATTTGTTAACCAATGTTAATGTTTTGTTGCGGAGGAGAGGGGAAGGAAGTTGTGACCTTGAAAGCCTAAATCGAGAAGGTTTTCTTTGCCGGCTTTTTTAAGTGCTTTTTACAGGTAATGACGTGGGATGATTTTTTAATCATGCATGGACACGCTATGCTCTCCATGAATTTGGAATGTATTTGCTATTAACTGTTTAAATTGATGAAATGGTTATGATGTGATGTTAAATAATGCTGTTGCTGTTGCTGTTGCTGCAATGGAATGTGAAATAAATTTAGTTTAAAGTGAAGTTCATCAGTTATAAAGATTTAAATGAAAACTTTCAGTTTTGAGATGGATGGATGGATGCAGATGTGGTAATGCTTAAAGATTTTAGAGAGCTGATTTTAATTGCCTGGCATTTGGTTTTTATATTGTCCGTAGCAATCAATGTTTTGATTTTCGATCAAGCTAATCCATTTGAATTGTTGTCTCTTTGGTGCTCGCCGATGCAAATCTCTTGAGATTGGATGCTATGGCTATTGTATCTGGGTTTCCATTGGTTTTTAACTTTGGTCTTCCACGTGACAGGATGGGAAGGTCTCACAGCTTGAGCATGTTTTCATTCGTGGCAGTAAAGTCAGGTAGCCAGTAATATCCTCAGTAAAGCTCATGTAGTTATTGAGACAGTTTGTTGGATTTTCACATATTGACAGTAATTGGTTGATGATAATGTGAAATTTAAACAGATTCATGGTCATACCTGATATGCTAAAGAATGCACCCATGTTCAAGCGTTTGGATGCTAGAATCAAGGTATCTCCCACTTTGCGAGCCCTTGTATTCTATCGAATGAGTCATTTTTATCGAAGGAGTCATTTTTGTGGCAATCTCTAATTAACCATTTCTTATGTGCTTGAAGGGTAAGAGCGCATCGCTAGGTGTTGGCAGGGGAAGATCTGTTGCCATGCGGTCCAAAGTAAGCATTTTGCTGTCATCGATATCTTAAATTTAATTCCTTTTGTAGTCTTTTGAGCCCAAAACACTTCAACAGCTTTGTATTTCAGATCCTCCAACTATTTTTATTTGTGGTCAGCTTGTAAGGACTAACTAGCGGTTCTACTCTTCCTGCAGGCTCAAGCTACTGGTCGTGGAGCAGCCCCTGGCAGGGGTGTTGTACCACCTGTCAGGAGGTAACCGGCGAGTAGTTAGGATCCCTGTTCTTCAATCAAATTTGGTGTATAAGGTCGTAGTGCCTTTTGAGATAATGAAAAATGAGCCCTGGATTATGAGTGACATATCTCTACTTTTATGCATGTGTTCAATTTTGTTATTGGATAGTTTCTTCTAGTGATATGATGACCAGTCAACTTCATATGCCAATCATGGGGGAAAGCATGTCTCCTCGAATGCGTGTTGTGCCTTGTAGATGCTTATGTTCTTATTTTTATCCACTGTCATCTTTTTGGTTCTAGCATTTTGGCATAAAAAATCAATATCTGCTCCTCAGAAATATATTTTGATCTTGTGTTGAAAAATTGAATGCATATCTACAGTTGACTGCTAGATGCGGGGAGCTTAAAACTCCTCTTCCTGTCTTTTCATCCTTTTGGCACTGCTTGGATGATGTACAATGTCGATTTAAATAATTTTTCTTGAAAAAAATTGTGGAGCCGACTCCGCAAGATTTCACCTCGAACCGGATTATTGACTTGCCATGTTAAAACAAATCCAATTCAGGCCAGGTCACGGAGCATACCTGTAAAGCCAGGCTATACAGCTGTGTTCCCACCCTTATTCCTGTATGCAGGCACTTAAATTTTAATATCGGTACGCAGGAACTGTACAAAGGTGCAGTAATGAGTTTTTTTCCCTCTTCTTGTTTGGTTACAGCAATGGATGGATGCATTTTATTGGACGGGAAGGAGCATTTATAAATACCATAAAAATAAAAAGAAGCACGAAAAACGGAGGCGTGCAATCCCATAATCATCAAACTAGTGGAAGTAACCATAGAGTTCCAAGAAGCAAATGCACAAATTGTGCGGGTTCGAGCCATCTGTCGTGGGACCTGTAAGAAGAACCCTGAAGAATCTAAATGGAAGTAGAGCTTGTGGCCCGGTTATGGGCCACGATGCAAACTGACCAGCCTTGCACATTGTCTGATCGTTCTCGTGCACTCTCAAGTTTGTCCAGGTCTTCCCATCCAGTGAACCCTGGAAAGCAATAAGTAAAAATGGTGGATCACTGGCATTTAATCTGTTTAATATGATTTAAGATAGGGTAACCCTTTTGGAGAACTGAACGGGGATGAATGAACTTGTACCTGCAAATTCCAATATCGTATGAAGGCTCTTGACCCATCTTGTCTCAAAGTGTAGTAGTTGCACATAAGCTGCATCAATCACAGCAGGGGGAGTGAGCAGGGGGCTTAGATCTCGGGTCGAAAACTAAGTTGGAGGCTGACTGTTTCATGATTGTTACAATATTTCCTCTGTTCGCTTTAAGATTTTCAGAAATATAGCTTGTTAGAAGAGGATTTTGAAAAGGTTGCAATGAGTAGAGGACAAAAACCTGATGATCTTGGCCGATGTCAATCATCCACCATGCATGTATTTGTCCACCTTCCACACGAGGCCCAGCAAAGCACGTTCCCTTATGCACGAAAGGCAACTCAATTACCAAAGAAACACACTATACATAATATATGTTGCGGACATATCATTCATCCTAACCTGGTAAGTTCGTGACACTAAAGCCTTGGGGTCAGTGTATCTCGAAGGGGGGCTGCTGGCAGTGATCGTGATTCTCTGGAGCATTCAGTTAGAGGATAAGCAGCGGTTTATTGAATATGTTTCATGTAAGTGTATATAATTACACGTAATTTTGTTTATGTAAATATATTTAATTTATTAATAAAAATTTATTTAATATTAATATTCATCAAATATATTATTAATATATCAAATATTTAATTAATAAATTTAGAAGTAAAGATAAAATCCCAAGACAAATATTTTTCTTAAAAAATTAAAAAATTATTATAATTAAAAATTTTTTATTGTATTAAAGCATTATTTTTAAATGTTCTTAGTTAATGCTTTATTAAAACTGGACATTAATTAGAGTTAATATGACTAATATATATTATATCTTTTTTTTTATTAAAAAAATAGTTATTCTCATAAGTTAATATATGATAAATATCTAAAACTAATATGTAAATGTTTGTCGGATGACACGTATATTAAATTAATTCGTGTGAGAATTCCATATGAAAAGATCACTTGTGTATATGAAAAAACTTGCATGACAGTTGTGTAAGTAATCTTTTAACTTGAAGTCATTAAGTTATATTATATGAAGAATATTATGTTTTGATTCTGCTATACATTGTCCTTGTCAAGGATAACAAATTGACAGATGTTAGGTATAACATAAATTATATAAAAATATTTGAGTAATATACATTGTCCTTGTCAAGGATAACAAATTGTCAGATATTAGGTATAACATAAATTATATAAAAGTATTTGAGTAATCGAGAGATGATTCATTATCCTAAGTAAATTAAAAAAATACTTCGCATGTTTTCAGACGATATTGATTGTAAATCCTTACATAAGGTGAAATGAGATTTGAAAAGAGTTTCAAATCTTATTCAAATAATCAATAATTATGGTATTGAAAACAAACATGATTTAACATAATAAACACATTATATGTTATAATGTCTAAATCAAAACATTATTAATGAAAGAAAAATAATTATACTAAAAAACTGATTATAAAAAGGTTAAGTCAAACCACTTATAACTTTTTTAATATTTGAGGGATCATGACATGTTGCTAGATATTATATTTGATTTTCAAATATAAATCAATTAATTGTTAAATTGATAATAAATTAAATTGTTTAATTTATTTAATCCTATTTTATTTAGAATTATAATATATATTTAAACCAACTTATTAGAAAACCTAATACTTCACACGTATAAGAATTATTGGTTAGAAATTAAAATGAAATGATTAATCAAGTATAACTTGATTGTAAATAATTTTTTAAAAATTAAAGACTAGAATGTAATTAATACAGGGGATTATAATTCTAAATCTTAAAACAATTAAGTAAGAAATTGATTGAAAGTTTTTCTAAAATTAACCTAAAATAATATATGTGATATTATTGAAGGGATAAATTAATATTTTACTATTTATTAAGTTTTTAGGCTTTTTCATAAATAAAATATCACATTTCTTATTTCCTCCAAGGTGTGATTAAGTGAAGGTGAGTAAATTATAATAACTAAACACTTAAAACACAAAAGAAAAGAACTAGTATTTTAAAGTATAACAATCTCTCTTTTCTAAAAAAATTTAGAGGAATTATCGCTGGTGGTTCATATAGATTATCATTAGAAACCAGATATTTGAATGACTTATAATTTACAATAAATCAATCTTACAATAATTATTTAAAGTTAAAAAGAACATTTAATCTTTAAATAATCTTCGTATAAATCCTTAACAATTTTAAATTTATCTAATAAAATCTTTAAGACTCTTGAAAAAATTTTAAATTTATAATTTTCACTAAATATATATATTTCAAGAAACCCAACATTTCACTGGTTTATCTATAGATACTTCCACAATATATATATAGAAACACAAAATTCACCTTCGCCAAAAGGGGATTAATCCACTGATGTTCCCCGTAAGATGTACCAGCAAAGTAGAGTACTCCATTGCTGTCACCATCAGATATGTACTGAAGCTCCTTGTAGCTAGATCGCCTATGTTGAAACCTTAGGCTACAAAAATAAGACAGTTGTCTACCATTTTATTATGCCATCGCTCATCAACAAAGCATCACCTCAGAAGCATGGAATTAAAAAGTAACCACTTTAACATAGAAATTACATAAGCTAGTAACATGACTCAATAGATTTTCACTCTCATTTCACTTTGACAAGCCCCCAGTTTTATTTATTTATTTATTGGCGTTTGTGTCTATTAGGCAAACAAACCCCTATGGAAAAAATCACATTTACCATATATTTATCACATTTTATCAACACAACCCAACCCAATGGGGACTAAATTATAAACAAACTATAACAAACTTACCCTATAGAACAGACTATATAGTTTACAACTCATTCCAACTGGGTTAAATTGAAAAAAATGTGGCCATTGATGATTTTTTATTTTTTAGGCAGTGGCTCATTCGCCAAATTATACAAACATAGGAGCTAAATTGGGGAATTTTGGTAGTAGTTAAGAACCTCTACTACTCTAGTGGAGCCAATGAATAATAATCAGCTGCCTCCATGCATAACTTGGATTAATTTGGACAGATATCAATCTCCACTATTGGACAGGTTAAGATAAAAAAGGATCAAAAGGCTAGGCCAATCTTACAACCAAGATCAAGACACATGAACGTGAAAAGTGAAACTAGCATCTTATACTTACTTTTGTTCATTCCCAGGCCTTAGGGATTCGAATTCTACATAACTGATGCCTTCTCGCACCTGTGACATTAGCAAGCGTCAAATCTAGATGGTGAAAATGAAAAGCAACATTTTTTCTCAAAAATCTCAACTCTTTTGAAACAAGATAACTTACAAGATCGTGAAAGATGGGAACATGCCTGCCTAGGTTGCTCTGCCCCAGCTGCAACGTGATAGCAGGAGTTCAGGGCACAATTCTCAATAGATTGGCTAGTTGTTCTTTCCATATTCAAAGCTTACTTACCTTCTTAAGCAAGTCATGTGGCATCAATGGAAATCGCACAAATGGCAAGAAGTCATCCAGGGATTGAAGCCTGTCCTTGAAAAGGAAGTCAGGAGTTGAAAGTGCAAGTAGCTCAGATACCTCCTCCCATCCACACAATTCTTTAGCTCTCATACCCCACATGAATATTGCGTTGAGGACTCTTTCTTCAGATGTTACAGTTAGATCTTGATGCTGCAAAACCCATCCTTTGTTATAGAGAATGTTTATGATTATATTATTTGCCAACAATCACAAATTGCTTTTAGGGAAGAACTTATCAGAGTAATGTATTTCACATGTTATCCTCAGTCCATTTAAATTTAAAACAACTAAAGCACGACTATGAAATTCCATCTCCAAAATCCTCTTTTATCCCATGTACTGAGTTATCTAATCCACTCATTCCTTTGCAACTAATGAGCAACATAGCAGCAAACCACTACCATATCGTGGACCTACCTCCACTGTCAAAAAGGAAACAGTATTCTACATACAAAGAGCTTGCTCTTCCTAATTTTTTGGACCATTCAATCCTGGATTCTATTGGCAGAGCACACTTGTATTGACACAGCCTATAAATCCTCTAATCAACCCCCAATTTCAAAGCTGTCAATTTGAAGAATGAGAACCAACCTGAATGATATTGCTAAAATTTGACTCATCTAATAAGATGAAGTCAAGGCTTGCGGTGGTACAATAATCGAAGTGCATAGCAAATTTCCTCTCGCATGTTTCTTCAATGAGTTTACATGATGGAATTGATGACACCGCTTGAAGGATTGGACATACTGAGTCCTGCAACAAAAGTTCAATAGTTAGCTTCATCAGCAATAACCAACTACATTCCCAAATCTGTCTGCTTCATCGTCCATTAAACTTGTGCATAATAGAAAACACTTGTTGTATGACCTTCTTCCACTAGGAGAACTCCATCCCTGCATATAATATGGACATGAAAGGTATCAATATCTTTTAATTCAATGTCATAAAGGGGTCACTTCTTTTGTTTTCAGAAGCCCGAAACCACAAGTCACTTCTCCTTCTTTTAATTCTAGTCAACAAGAAGCATACTGTAACAACAAAACAAAGATATGATTCTACAAAAATTTTCTGGATTAAATTATTAGTAATATAAGGCTTAGCTACCTCAGAGAGACACTCTAAAAGTGTTTTGCAGCATTCTTGGTAAAGGTGAGTGACCCCAAATTGATCAGCTAACAAAAGAACCTGGAGTAGCAAGGTTCCAAATTCCACAGAATCTTCCAGGCTTAGCACTCCGCTATACAAGAATTCAAGCATGACCTTGAAGGCTTCAGGTGACACATCGCTTAAGAAAACCTCCGAGGAGCTACTCTCACTCATTCCATTTGTAAACATCTGCCAAAGCAACTATTTCCTTTAGTAATAATCCATCTGATTTGGAAAATCAATAGACCAAAGCACTGATAAAAAAAATTCAGGATAAAACCCCAGTAGCAATGAACACAAATGGCATATATAGACCATCACATATTTGGTCAGCCACTAGGTAAAATGTTTTTAAGGTTTGCCTTGGGAGCATATGAAGTTTCTGTTCTATGTGTACTAAGAGACTATCTCATCCAGTGTCAATACCAATGAAATGTAAATGTTTCAGATAGATAATTATTAAATACCACCACCAACCAATATTGAGCTGAAAAGTTGAAAACATGTATCATAGTTTAAAATCATCAAAAGACCTTTACAGAAATATCCTTACATCATTTTATTTAAAAATATTACAACAGCTCTATAATTTCTTGGATATCAGTGCACACCGGTCAAATTCATTTAATAAGGTATTACTGAATTATCAGTCCCTTTTACCATGAAATACACTTTCATAAACATTTCCAAAACATGCTATACAGAGGACATGGAGACACAACAGAAGCTAGATGAAGATGGCTCACCTTTGAAAATGGAACACTCCATAAACTTAGAATGACTTTGTGAAGTTGAGCAACAAGACCATGACCCTCAATGTAAATGTTTATGTCACTATAGTCTCCAGTCGACTGCAACTGCTTAAGCCTTTTCACATTCATAGGTAGTTGAGAAGGAAAGGCCATACGGCAATGGGGCTGGAAGCTTGGATATGATAATTCCACACTCTTACCAGAGTCAAATAACTTCTTATTCAGTTTAAATCGTTCTGCAGTTTCCTCACACTGCCTCACCAGTGGCATCACTTCAAATTGTAAGCTCAGAGCCCGCAAAGAACCAAGTTGCGCCTCTGAAATCTATATCAAAGAGGGAACACCAGTGAGATTAAACAGCCCAAGAGTAACTAGAAGTGATGCGGTAAGCTAGATTCATTCTTAAAAGAAATGATCATGACAATAAAACAAAAGGCGGAATCATCCTCAATGAAGATGCATAAAATCTGGAAATGTGGAGCGGTGATGATACCTGTGTCTGGCCAGTGTATATATATTGAAGAAGTGCATGAAGAATTGGATATGATATGTTCTGGAGCTGAATAACATCTTCATTTGGCAAGCTCAAAGGAAAATTACCAGATGCTTGTAAGATAACCTTATGAGCTGGGACATGTCTTCTGTCCTTGCCAACAATGAACAATACATCAGATAATTCCCAACTCTCAAGAAAATTTTCAAGTCCCCATTTCTCATAGCTCATCTGTTCACCTTCTAGCTCCTCTTCCTTCCCCTCATATTCTCCGGAGTCAACTTGCTTCCATAGCAACATATGATTATTTGGTAATGGCAACACGTTGACATTTCTATACCCGACATGTTTATCCCAACAGCTAAGACCAACATACCGAACACTACAGTTTGGGTTCGAATCTAACCACTGAAACACAAGATTCTGAAAAGGGTATCTCCCTTTGCCAACACTAATCAACCCATCATAAATACAGATCCAATAACTTTGAAAAGTGGAAGAGCAGCAAAGCGCAACTCCCTCCTCATCAACAACTGTTTTGCCATCAACCTCAATTTTCAATCGGCGATTCCTATGACTCCCAAGAATCACAGTATAATGAGGACTGTTATCCCTCTTATAATGGTAGTGTTGGCTTCCTACATTCTCCCTAAACACCACTGTAACATCATTGTGAGCAAAAGCATCAAAAGTCACACAGCCTCTTCCTGCTTCCCTAAATTTCAAATCTTTTCTCCAAGCACACTGAAATGGTGCTACTGTGAGAAACTTCTTCTCTTCTATCATCTCTTCCTTACTATTAAACAAACCGCTAGCCCACACTCAATTGACGCAATTGCACTATAGAATAAGCAATACTTATCGGAGCCTCAAGACACCAAGAAAAGGGCCCCCACCTTACCTATCTGATAAAGAAGACATGAACAGTTGCATTAGATTTTAAACACAAGTAACTGGCTAAAAAATTTTCATAGGTCAAATAAAGAAAACCCATCAAACTCGATCAAATCATGACATATTTATAGTAATAGAAATTTGAATTAAATAAAAATAGTAGTAGTAGTAGTAGCCCAAAATAAATTATCCAGAGAGAAAGCTGGAATCTGCCAGAGAAACAACCAACCAACTTGACAAAAAATCTGAACTCATCATCAATCCTACACCACATTCTTATTTGTAAGACAAGAACATACATAAAAAAATCTTTACAAAAATTAACATTCCCCTAAAAAAAAAACCATACCGACAAAAGCCCGTGAACATGAATGATGATAACTAGCAACAAAATATCAGAGTCAATGTAAAGGTGGTTTCTTTTTTTTTTCCCCTCGATTTTTACCTGGTAGAATATTCAAGAAACCATCTTTGTCAGCAACTTGAACACGAAATGTAACGAGAACCAGACAAAAGAAAAATATATTTTGATCAACTTGAAAAGGATTTAAATCTTATGAAAGAGTGAAGTGGTGGAGTGGGAGATTTTTGTCTTGTTTTTGTAAGGATTAGGCTGCCACTTGGATTATAGGTAAATGGTGGCTGTAGAGATTGTTTGAAAGCGAGACGTGGCACTGAGTGCTGGGCAGCTGGGTGTGCGTGCTTGGACAAGGATGCTTCTCTCATATTTGCAATCTCCCCCCTGACATGACAAGGCCAGCTAGAGTTCAGGGATGAGAATTGAAACTGCCTCCATCAAAGTCATGTAAAAATAGATATGGAGAGATTTTTTATGTAAAAATGAATAAAAATACCAACATAAAGAGAATCTTGGTATCCCTCGACTTGATATAATTGTATACTCGATTTTACATATATAGTTTTAAAATATATATCTAAAATAATTTATGCAGCTATTTTTCTAAAATTATCTTAATTTAGTTTGTTTATTATACATACACACACACATATATATATATATATATATAATTTGTATACCTTAATAAAAATTAATTCTAAAAAATATATAAATGTAGCCCATTGAAAATGAATATAAAGGTGGACATGAGATTAGAAACCTCAATCTCTTTTCATGACACTTCATTATCATTTTTAATGTTACATGTTTATGATAGTATGATGATCATATTTTTAGGTTAGGAATCTATTCGGTAATGGGAAAAGAAACAAAAAATTCTTATTTTTTATTAGAAAAAAGAAATGGAGTCGTCATCTAATATTTTTGTCATTAAAATCTATAATTGATCTTAGAGTTTGGATAAAAAGACTGGTTGTGTATAAGAAAGACGTATCACCCCTAGTATATCTTATATAAGGTAAGTTATATTGTTTATTTGTCTGATATAAATTAAGATATTATTATATTTTCTAGTTATTGGTTTATCTAAAGTTGAAGAAAAATCATCATCAGTAATGAGATTTGTATCTTATTAGGTTAAAATCTAACCATTTTAGAGTCAAAATATATTTTTGTATTTTGAAATAAAGGATTTTTAGCTTTTTAAAAAAAAAAATTGAGATTTTTTTAGAGAAAAATCAAGTATTTTTTAATGTTAGTTTTATATCTTACAGTATAAGTCTATAGTCCTATATTGGGTAAAATTGCTAAAAAAAAAAATATACAAGGGACCCATAAATAATTTTAAAATAATCCCTGAATTTTTTTAGAATTTTCTAAGCTTTTTAAAAGGGCTTATTTGACTAGATATTAAAATAAAAACAAATTAAAAAACTAAGAGAAAATTATAAAGGTGTGTTTGTCAAATCATCCTTAGCCCAAAGAGCTAGACTAATTAGGCTTAAGGTGCAATCTTAGCCTAGCTGATTGGGTCGGTTAAAGGCCCAATTATTTTTTATAAGAATGAGCTAGGCTAGGCTAAGAGTTCATCCCGTATAACTTGGTCACTGGTCCAACTCAATAACCAAGCTATAAAAAGCTTGTAGAATATGAATTAATTGACATTCTGCAATGTTTTAATAGAAGAAGAAAAGATACAAATGAAGGAAGAGAAAGTAGAGACCTTGCCTAACTAGAGGAGAAGTGCTACTAGTAGCGTCCTTGGTGACTTTAGGTGGAGGCTGGCATGGTTGAAAAAAAAGATGAAACAAATAGTTGAGATGTAGATGAGTTGTTGTTGGTGTCAGGAATGGAGAATGGTTTCTTTTTAAAGAGAATGAGAGAAGTATTCTAGTGTCTTCAACAAATTCAAACTGGTAGGAATGTCATTTTTTGGTCTTTTTTTTTTTTTATGTCAACATGAAGCATCCTTATTTATAGGGCATGAGGGAGGTGGCTTGGCTCCTATTTGGAGCCAAGTCTCAACCATTAAGCTTATTGGGATTAACCACAACTCTTAATGCCAAGCCAAAACCAATTAGTACTCTTAAACCAGGCTATCAAAAGCTAGTCGAGTCAATGGTTTTGGATCGATGTTGGAGTGGCTACATTGGGAACCATTCAGTGAGAATCGTGCTTGGAGATAGTATTGTTGCAGAAGGTAAGGGTGGTGTGTGTTTATCTTGTGAGAAGTTGAAGACAATCCATAATGCCTCGTAAATTGATAACATTTTTTAATTTTTATTAATTAATTACCAAAATGATGTCATTTTATTTAAATGAAATGACATTGTTTTAGCACTTTAGATTGAAATTAGGTTTAAAATCTCCTCTCTCAATCTCATTCCTTAATTTTAAATTTATTTAATCAAGTTCTTAATTAAAAATGTAAGTCATTAAAAGGATCTCAAAAACCCACTAAAGCACAAATACTAGAATCTTTCAGAAAAATGGATTCTTATTCGAAGAGTGCATAATTGCATGAATAAATTCACACTAACTCATCAATTTGGGATCCAATTTAAGATGTTTTTTAGGACGTGTGAGGAAAGAATTAGAATGTAATAATATTGATTCATACAAATAAAAAAAGAAAAGGTTCTATATTGATTCAAACGTTATAAGGGGTAGCAAAATAGGAAAAAACAAAGATTTCACATTGTACGTTTGATCAAAAAATCAATCTGATTTATTTCATATCCTTCGCTCAATGAGATAGTGAGTCGGATTCTACAATATCAAACCTATGAGACTTAAGGTATGACAAAAAGGAATAAAAAAAAGAGAGGGAAAATAATAAATATAAATATAAATAAATGAAAAAGAGTTCATATTTCAAATAAACAAATTCAAACTTGAAAAAAATCTTTCTAATTCTCGAAGAATGAGGGGAAAATGGATTGATTGAAAAAGATCTCTTGTTTTTATTCTTATTATAAGATCATGATTGGAATTATATATGTTTGATAAAAAGAAGAATTTTCTCTTTTGAGAATAATAATAATAATAATAAAAAAAGTGTTCAATTGGAACATGAAGACGTGACTAAATGGATGGAGGAAAAAGCTTTTAGACCGATGAAAAGGGTCTAATGACTTTGAAAGAATTGAAGGAGAAGTCATACGAGGTGAAAATATCATGTACGGTTCTATAAAGTAGTAATAAAGGTGACTTATCTATCAACTTTTTCGTTATCACCCTTAGAAAACCAAACTCTGCCTTATATAAAGTTGTTAAAGTATGATTAATCTCTAGATTTGAAACCACTATTATATACTTAATGTTGGCCATAATTCGTGAAAACATCTTGTAATCTTAGTAGGAGAGGGAAGACTTTATCCAGTGTGAGATATTACATTGTTTGAAGAATCCTAGATGTTGTCAGAGGAAAGAATCGTCAATAAGAGCGTTTTAGTGTGTTGTAGATTCTTATCCAAGACTTATTTCATTTGATGATGCCATATGAATTGCTAGAAACATATAAAGTCTATCGCTAACCCATTAACAAAAGTTTTGTAAAGGGAATGAAATAAACTACAATAAAATAAAAGAACTTCTTTTTAAAGAGATTCGATTTGGAACTATTTTATATCCAAGGTCCAATAGTGGAATAATTTCATAGGTTTTTCTTGACTTTATTTGTGTCAACAAATAATTTAAAATGTCTTAATATTTTTTAGAGAAGGTCTCAATCAAATAGCAATGATTTGAAACACATTTTTTTTACACTATTTCAGGAACCCAATGACTCAGTTGCATGGATATGAAAAATACAAGATTTACAATCCTAGCAGGAAAAGAAGGGAAATGAATACTTAATTTAAAGTGAGTGAACAAAATTCTATACTCAATCTCATTATACATATAGAATTTTATAGAAAGATGTATATCTTGGAGGGAGGTATCATTTCTTTCAAGATTTACCCTACAATATAGGGTAAAAAAGCTAAAATAAATAATTTTATTAGCCTTTTTATAAACAAAAAATTGACTAGTGACAATCCTTGCACATTTATATCACATTGAGATACCATAGAAAAAAAAAACTACAAAATCTGATTCAAATTATCATAATCAATTAGTTAACATGTTGGTTAACCGTATATTCTGAAATATAAAAAAAATTATTGGCATATTAAATTTTTTATCGAGTTATAAAAAAATTGAACAAAAGACAAACAAATTCACTATTTGTTTTACACCAAGTAATGCATAGAGTAATTTATGATATGATAGTAAAAGCAAGATGTGTACGCAAATTGACACAACAAGTTTTCATTAAAATAGGATTTATACAAGGAAAAATATTTATTATTTGTTTGTTATCATGAGTCTGAAAATATCTAGGTTGGGATGTAGTTTTCAAATTAAGTTTTGAATTAGTAGATATTGCGGGAGATATGGTTTTCAAATTAAGTTTTGAATTAGTAGATATTGCGGGAGAGAATACACTAAACAAAAAAAGACCCATAAAAACAAGTAAAGTTTTTGCTCATTTTTGTTAACCCATGAATAAATAAGACATACAAGTTATTATATTTTTATTTTAAAATAAAAAAATATAATATTTTAAAAATATTGTAGAAACAAATTTATTTTATATATTTTGTTTTCCTTACTCCGATCAAATATATTTTTATTCATTTTATACATATATATATTTTTTTATCTAAAAACACTAATCAACACAATTTTATATTTCACGTGGATTAAAAAAAAAGTGCTGCCGAGCTTAAAGAAAGCTGGTAAGAAATGTGCTCACTTCAAGCAATACCTGTAACCTGTACCTATATAAATTATTTGGATCATATTGAACAGAGGATTTCTTGAAGCCTAATAACCGCACAACTTCATTCTTGCTACTTCGCTGTGAAGACGCAACTCTCTGGCTTGTGATGATGATGGCATAAATAACAGCAACACAGCCACATATTCTAACTTAGCCCATCTTCAGTAGAAAACAGCCTGAGACAAGCAAAATCTCAAACCATTCTATAAAAAACAGTAATGCCCATCTTCAATCGCTAATTTCAAATGCGAATGATTCAACGAGAAACATACACAGAAAATCAAGCCTTGAAAACATTATTTTACTCTTGAGAAAGGAAAATGAAAACATCCCTGTTATGTTCAAATAGCATAAAAGAAAGAATATCAACAGTTCAAAGAACTCTAGGCCTTGATCCTCGTCCAGGGGCAACTTCAGTTGCTCTGTTATAACCCCCCAACCCCCAAATTTTACTTGAATAAGGTTAGTCTTTTCATGTCAAATCATCTTATGCTTGTCAGTCCTGCTAAAATTTAGCTTCCAGTAAAAAGTTAGCAGGCTCGTTCTTCACAGCATAACCAAATTTAGAGGTACTATACTTCCGATGTACGCCTGTTAGCTTCCCTGTTCCAGAATTCCTATGAAAATTAACCATAAGCCTTGAACATTCCCTGTATCCCAATAGGACAGAAAAAACAAACGATGAGTCAACAAATGTCGATCTTGACATGTAGATGGAAACAGGTAAAGAGACACTCACCTGATCTGCTCTTCTGAGTAGCTAGTATAGTACTCGTTAGTCTTGCTCCATTGCTTTGTTCCACTAAGAGTACATTGAGCAGTATATATTGCAGCAGCAGCTAACAATGAAGGTGGAAACTTGAGCATGTCATATTCAACGAGGCAGAGCTCAACAATGAAGAATGACAGAAGTTCAAGCTGCTTGAAAATAACAACCGGTTTAATCAGTATTCCACAGTAAAAAAAACCCACGAGTGCAGTTAAATTATTCATGCAATAGACCATTACAAACCTTCGTGTCACATTGTGAAGCCTTTAGGAATCTCCTCATAAAAACATATGGAGTGGGAACAGATAGATTAAATTGTAAGGTGTTCACCATGAGCTTCTCCTGCAGGAATTAAAATTCATATCACATACGCATCAACATTCTGATCATAATGGCAATGACAAAAACAATGACTGATTAAATATTAATATACCATGTCAAGCACTTCTTTTCTGCTGTAAGCTTTATCAGAAATCAGAATGAGATCCTCAACAACTGGAACAGATACTTCTTCATATTTGCATGCAAGTAGCATGGCTGTCACTCCAACGAGCTGGAGTTTCTTTCTCGCTACGGGCTGGACTGCTAGAAATCTATCGATGAGATTGACAGTAAGGTATAAGGTCTCCTCCATCAATTCAAACTTGTAGTGCACCTGTTAATTCCATCAAATTTGTAACAGTTCAGATGAAACCAGACAACTAACTTCAATCTTTTAGGCATTATTTAAGTAATAACAACTGCCTCTGCAAACCTCAATCAACCAATCAATGAGAATGCCTCTCATTCTCTCGTTGATGTCAAATTGCTGTTCCATGTAGTTTGGTGCAACACAGCCAGATATCTGCAATTAATTTTCCAGAAAAAGAGTTAGGTAAGTGAACTGAGAAGGCAAATACTTCAAACGAAAAACCATAACCATACCATCAACAGAGCTATTTTCCATCCAACATGTTTAGACAAATAGACCTTCTAACATGTTTCGTAACATAAAGCTCCACCCTTGTTTATTTAAAATTTCAAAATAAATTTATAACAGCTCCTTTTGGCCTAAATATCTTAAATTAGATAAGAGCAGTGAAGGCTTTTGTTTATTTTTCGCAAATTGTATACGAAGATAGATTCGTGTCACCTCTGCTTTCTTGTAGAAATTGTATAAATCATCAACGTATTCAACTACAGCAAGTGGATTCTTCTTGTCACAGCCATCTATGTCCATGATCGGCTCTTCTTCAACATCTTCCATTTCAACTTCATCCTGTAGGAAACCAAGAAATCAATGGCACCCTAACCAGAGATACAACAGTAACACAAACAAATTCTAAAAAGTTATATTTCAAATACCATCCGGTCAATCTCCTCCAACATTGCCTCTGTATGTTGCACATACATTGGCACAGCAAAGTCATTACTGCTCTTGTAGTCCTCCACATCTATGATGTTACAATCTTCTGGCTCACTAGAAATTGGTTCCAATAGAACTGGTTTTTTTATTTCCTGTTAACATAAACAACTCTCAGTCCCATCTCATAATTTATCCCCGTATATCGAACCTAAAAATTAACAGCAAATGCAATTCTTTTAAAAGGTACCTCTGGTTTATATTGTTGCTGCTGCTTGTTAGCAAGCTGGGCAGCGAACTTCCTAAACAAACATCATGAATTGCACCCAAAAAGATTCAGTTAAAAGATCAATTCATTGACATCAAAAACAGCACCTTCAACATCAAATAAAAGGTCAATTAGTTACTGACCTAGTGATAGGTCGATGCACTGGAATTGGTGGGTTCTTAATACAAATACCTTCTCTTCTAAATTGTAAAACAGACAAAACATTTTCAGAAGTAAGTAATCACAAGACACAAGCAAAAAAAAAAGAAAGAAAGATTCAAACTTTTCATCATTCAAGACCCAGGAAAATCAATTGAAAATAAAGAAAGAAAACTCCACACCACCAAGTGCCTACTTTCTTTACTTTTCCTTCATTTTCTCAGGAACCAAACAAGAGATTAAGATTAAGATTAAGACACTAGTAAGGATTTAAGAACACATACTCCGATAACCCTCTTTTGTTGACAGCACAGGGGTACGGTGGACCTCCAATGATGTTCCGATTAATGTTGCTCAACGCCCGGCGATTAGTTCCTGTCGCCACCGGAAACTTCCCTACTCCGCCACGTAAAACCCCTTCAAAATTGAGAAAAACTAATTGCTTAAAAAAAGCCTTCATTTTTTAAACTAAACAGATAATAAAAATTAAATACAACTATTGGGGGTTTTGTTATTACCTTGTACATTTCCGGGTCCGATCACACCCAGGTAGTTCTCATCGGATCCAGCCATTGTTTTCTACCAATAAAGAAAACCCCATTAATGGGGTTTTGTTAAAACAGCTAAATAGCTATAAAGAAAGTTAATAAAAAGTACATAATATGATTTTTTATAAGAAAAATAAATAAAAGAAAAGAGAAAGACCTTATCAAGAATTAAGATCAAAACGCAAAACCCAGATCATAAAATCAAACAATTCACCTTCGAATTCAAGTATTCTTTTAAGCTTCTTCTTCGATTTGGAACAAAAAACCTTCAAATTCAACGCAACCCTGTTTCCCTTAAAGCACGTGCCTTGATCTTAGAGAGAGACTAGTCAAAAGAACCCCATAAATGGAGCACGATCTCTCTCTCTCTCTCTCCCTCTAATCAAAATCTTTGTGGGTTCTAGAGAAGAAATGCAAAGGAAGGAGGAAGAAAGAAGAAGAGAGATAGAAATAAGAAGACGAACTGAACTGTATGCGAAATTGAGACGCAAATATCGGATTTGTGTCTAAGCCCTCTTCTATATATTTTTAAAACCAACGGCTAGTAAATTCTGACCGTCTGATCTTTTTTTATTGAAAAGTCGCGTTCTCCTGTGCGCCGCTCAACGGCTACCTTGCCATGTGGCCCCTTTTAAAAAATTTCCACACACCTCACTCCAGTACTTGACTCAACTGTCTTCTACTCCTACTATTTTTTTGGTTCCTTATCCTTGCGACACAGCCTTTTTAAGGGTTGGTTGTCTTTAAAGCAAGGGTTTATTACTCTTTAGCCCCACCTTGGAAAATTTTGAATCTCGAAAAATTTATGTCCTGCTGCAAAGCAATGATGTTAAACTCGGCTTTCCAGATTAACTTGTAACTTTGGTCATGTTAAAAAAAAATTATGTGAAAGCTTACCGCTCAAACATGGATAATTTGATGGTTAATTCATGATTTGATTGTTCATATTAAAATTTAAATTTAGTTTGAATTCTTTTTTAAAAAATCAAATAATGTTTTATTTTTTTTAAATAATAATAATTGAAACAGTGTTGTTTTAGATTGATAAATCAAGTTTAATAATTCTAATTGCAACAAAACTAATGTATTTAAAAAAAAAATTAGTGATGATATTCATTATTTACAAGCATTCATGTAAATGTGTGCAGTAGTGCATTAATTTTTAATTTTTTAGCCTGTTTTAAAAATATTTTTTATTTTAAAAAAATATTAAATTAATATTTTTTATAATTTTAATATGTTAATATTAAAAATATAAAACTAAGTATCAATCATATAATAAGATTGTTTTGTCTGTGATGTGTGTGTAATTAACCACAAGCATACAAAACCTAAATATATGTGATTTTAATATCTATGATTTTAGTACGGTAATGATAGATAGGTGACACCTTTCATTTAGAGTCTTTGATACTCTAAGTAGTATTAAAAAAAAATAACACAATACAAAAAATATTTAAAAAAATAATAAAATTTAAAAAATAACAAATAACAAATAACATGTATGATTTGAGAATTGCAAGCATCATACCCGATTTTATCAAATTATAAATTTATTAGATATAAGATTCAATAAAGAGACGTGAGAGATAAGACAGAAAAAAAACTATTAAGACATGTTAGAATTCTAATGATAAAATCATTGATATTATCAAAAAAAAATTAACAAGATAAATCTAATGATACTAAAAAATAATATTAATGATGATAAGAGTGAGCCACGTGAGTAGCCTAAAAAGCAAATGAGTATCAACATTTTTAGTGTTTCGTGTAGTTTACTTTATTCATCATTTGTAACATTATCTCGTGTCATTGAATTTGTTTTGTTGAATCTTTTTTATGATATCGGCAGTTTCATTATTAGAGTTTTGTTACACTTTTAAGATTTTTTTATTTTTTTCTCTTTGTCCACAAATTATAAGGAGGATATAAGAAAGAGAAAAATAAATAAATAAAGGAAACACCAAATAAGGTAATTAATAATAAATCAAGTGCACTAAGGCTTGTAGCCCAGCGATTTTGATAGAGTTTCTCTATCTATGTATCCTGGGTTTAAACTTCAGCATGCACGATTGTCACTCTCGCGGTGTCATACTTGTCTATTAGGCTTGCAGGATGTTCAGTAGATTCTGGGATTAGTCATGACGCGCGTAAGCTGACTCGGACACCTCAAATTATAAAAAAAAATAATAAAAATAATAAATCAAGTGAGTCACATGACCAATTCAAATATACTAGGGTTTATTTATCTTTGGATTGCTTATGTGATCCACTTTAATCCCAATAATGATCTTTTTTTATACTACTTGATTTGTTTCATTAATTTTTTTTAATAATATTAATGATATAGTTATTAAAGTTTTAATATATTTTTATTATTATTATTATTTTTTTAATATTTTATCCACTATTTTTGTAGTTAGTCATATGTACTGTGACTTTCAAACCAAATACATCATCTTCAACTTTTTATATTTATATTTTATTATTTTTCTAAATATTTTTTATACTATTTCATTTTATTATAATTTTTTTACCATGCTAAAACAAAAAATCTCTTGTTCATCATTAATGGACGGGGCATTATATACTACGATCATAGGAAAGTCAGTATCCACGTCATCGATGTGTGATAAGCATTGACTAGATCTTGATTGGATTTCCATCTTGGTGACACTGGTGAATCGGGCGGCCGAGAGACCATCATCATCGATTTGATGACGGAGTTGCAATGCAAAGTGGCCATCTTTTTTTTTTTTTTTTGCCATTCTTTAAAAGGACAATTCGGTCTTCATAAATATAGAGCCTGTAGACTCTGCACAGTGCGTCCCGACAACAGGAGGCCGACAGCCTGGTACAGGCAACGTTTGCAGTGGCTATGATTATGTTAAGAATTTTTTTGTAGATCATAACTTGGTCATTTTAGTTTTAATACATAAAAATATAGTCCTTCTAGTATCATTTTGTATCAAATGATATCCTTGTATTATTATTATTATTATCCATTTACAGTCTAGTTCTTTAATTTATTGTCTATTTCTAAGATATATATATATATATAATTTTTTTTAATAATATTAATAATATAGTTATTAAAGTTTTAATGTATTTTTATTATTATTATTTTTTATTTAATATTTTATCCACTATTAGAAAATATTTTATAATAATATAGTTATTATTATTATTTTTTATTTAATATTTTATCCACTATTAATTAATTAAAAATATAAAAATAATCATTTTCTTAAAGCGCAGCAAAGATACATTAGAAGAGGTGAGAAGATTGTTAAT